CTGTATGCTGCAGACATTTTGCCCTTGGCAGCAAGATTATTGACAGGAGACACAATTTTTATTCAAATGTATACCATGAATATGGTAATGCTGAACAATTTTTTATTTATTTTTGTCTTTATAAATTGATATATCATGTTTCAAATATTGATATATGTATATAAATATGAATACTTTAGTTAATTATTGTTCTTTTATGTAGTTATATGATTGGCCTCTGCCTCCTCCATGATCCTCATATTATTTTACTTTAATATTTAATTTCTCTTTCTAACTGCTGCACTGCTGCTTACTCATAAAAATGAGGCCTAACAACTGTGTTGAATGCATTTCCTTCCTCATAAAACATTAGCAAAGCTTATTTTTGTGATAATATTTACAATTGTGCATCGTTTATATCCATATTTGCAAGCTTGCTGTGTTCTCAGCCTTTGTTGGTGCATTGTGTCATTTCTTTGTGTGTTGCCGCTGCCAACTGTGAATTTGCAGCAAATACTGTATTAAAACATGGATGTAGTCTTGGTGACGTTGTGAAGCTCACCGTGGGAGGCTCTGGCTGTCACTTTGTGGCAGTCCCTGACTCCTGCTAAAGAGGTGGAGCTGAGGCGGGCCAAATGAAGCCTCATTCCTGAAACCACCTAGTGGCTAGACACCTGTTACAGAACCCACCTGTCAATCAAAGGGCCTGTCCTTAATTATGCATAACTTGAAGCCTTAATATAATTTAAATACGTTAAATAAAAATTCACTCCCCATACAGTTGTCATGAAGGGGTAAATTAGCTATAGAGACCAAAACCATTTTTGATCCAGGCTGTAAAATGTTTATTTCTACTGTAAAGTTGAGCATTTTAACATGGGGGTCGATGGGGATTGACTGGCTTTTGGAGCCAGCCTCAAGTGGCCATTTGATGAATTTCAGTTTTTTGCACTTCTGAGTTGGCTCATTTTTTCAGCCCCAGAGGTTGATTGATTTGATGTGTGCACGATCAAATCAGGGCAGGGACAGGGACCCATACATGAAAACCGTTGCTCAATAGTGCTCAAAATGTGCGTAGGGTTTCTTTAAGAAACACCTGCCTGGGCGTCCCGGTGGCCTAGAGATTTAGGATGTAATTGCAACTTTCTCTCCCATAGTTTCCTGTCATCTCTTAACTCTTGCTATCAAATAAAGAGAGAAGAAACACACTGCCTGTCTATTGCTGGACATGAAATGTTATACGTTCTTCCGTGAACGAGTCTGAAGTTATCAATTAGCACTCTGCATGTCCACCACTTTGTCCCACCAAGCTGTATGTACCACAGGCTGATGTTTGCTGATATGGCAATACGTCTTTTAAGCAGATTAAAAGCTTACCATCTCCACTGAGGTGTTATAGTTTTACGTTGTCAGACTAGCTGGCAGAGGATTTATCCCAGCTAGTGTTTGGTATAAGCGGCTGATTAGGATTCAAATGAAATATATTATTCAGTGTGAATAAAATAATGCCTTATTATAATAGTGCATCCTCTACTTTTTATTGTCTGTTTGTGTTTGTGTGTATGAGTTTTTAGCTCAATATGCTAGCCATGTCTTACCTGTTTTTTTTAATCATCAAATGTGATTTCTCAAACTGCCATAAAGAGCATTCATGTAATGGAGATTGGCAGTACATCTGTTGAGAAGGAGATGATATGATTATCTCATACATTTTAAGCTTCTTTCTAACATATGTGCAAATATTATGTTTTAATAATTGAACATCTATCAGCAATTTAAGTCTTTCTCATACTGTTTAAATTAAATCATCTATTGAGGCTCTGTCTGTAATTGGATGCAGATGTTTTCTGTCTCTAATTCATCTTTGTAATTTGTGCAGCTTTAAAGAAGCAGGTAACATACAGAAACTACAAATTTTTTTAATACTCATTAAAAAGAAGCACTGCAGGCAGTTTGGTTTGATCGAATAGTTTGAGTAGAGCAACTTTTAAGGATCATATTTTATCTCTGCTAGCTTCCTGGGGCTTGTTGACATATGGAGATGTGGTTCTCTTATGACATTAAATATTATAAATTACTTTCTCACTTCTTTGCAATGTGCTAAAATTAGCAATTAGTGCTCCGGGGGAACGTGTGTATGAGAGAATGTGTGTGAAAGCCATTCTATTTTCACCTTTTCCCACCTTCTTGTTCGTTTCTATGTCCAGACTCAGATATTTCTTTCTCTTGTCTGTAGTGAAAGCCAAATAGATGTGCAACACTTTACTTTAACCCTCCATATTTAGCATTTGCAAGCATTACATAAAAATTTAATAAATAGTTTATAACACTATAATGTCGTTGTAAGCAGATGTAAATGGTTATTAATACATTTGTTAACAACTACAAAACCTAACCCTAACAGATAACATAACATAATAAAACTGTGATTGTTAGAATATAAAATATGTCTTCATAGGAAAAGTTATAGTGTTGACAAATACTGTACATCCATAAACACTAAAAACTGTCCTCTCATGTGCTTACAACTGCATTATAGTGTGTTATAAACCATATAATAGCTGTTTCTAGTGCTTATAAATCTAAATAGGGGCGGTTAAAGTAAAGTGTTAAGAGATCTTTGCACCAAAATTAAAGCTACTGAACATATAAAGAAATACAGGAAACACTGTACATTACATTTTTGTTTATCTTATATGGATGTGATAATAGAGACATGTAGCTTTCTATTGCTACATAACTGATATTCTGCAGTCATTGTAGTAAATTAGTAAATGTGCAGGCAGTTCTGTGGTATTATTACACTGTGGTGACCACAGAATATCACACAGCATGCTTAATACATGTTAGGCCTGTTTTGTAAAATATATTGGATGCCAGTTTGACCAAAGGTGACAGCAGGTGAAATAGCTCGTTTAGTCGGCCCATATTTCGAGGTGATGAAAACAACAAGGAAGATGGTTTGTAGTAGTGAGGACAGAACATTGGAAAAGTAATGATAATCTATTTTCCTCTTTTTCTATTTTCTGTGCAATTACAAAAGAAGAAGTTCATTAGACATGATTAGTCAAGTGAACCATTCAAGTGCATCTTTATCACCACAGAGAATATTGTTTTGTTTCAATTAATTTTCTCTGTTATGAATGGATTCTACCTTAAACTGGCAACTACAATCTCCCAGTCCTGTTTCTTCTAATCTAATCATATTTACTGATGTTTGAGGCAAGGCACAATTAATCCAATTTACACTAGATAAAATTTGTTTTCAGTCTATTCTCCCATATATAATAATCCGAAGTGTGTGGAAAATATGATTATAAAACTGCTGGTTTGGCTGTCACTGTAATGAGTGATAGAAGGGAGAAAAGATTAAATGGAAAAGACGGTCGGTTCCTCAGTTTGTCATAAGCAACATGACAGCACGATGTGACTGTCACTCCAGCCATCCTTCAGTGCTGCTGCCTTTTGAAGATTGTGCTGATGAGAAGAATTGTGTCTATATGTGCAAAAAGATATGAGAGTTAAAACAAGCCCATACATAGAACCAGTGCTGCGACACACCTCAGCATTTACATTTGAAGTTTTAAAAAGTTCTGTTATTTTGGAACAGTTTGAACCTAGTTTATTTTAGCACAGCAGAACTTAAACTAAAGATATCGTGCAACACTGGGCTCTGTGTTTGACTAGTTTTGTAACTTTCTGAAACCGAAAATCCAACAAGGTCGCCTACCTCACGCAGCAATTGGCCAGCTGTGTGGAGTTGAAAAAGTAGGCAGGCTTTGAACTTTGATGCGATTACCTCTGTCACTGTTCATGTATACACATGAATGCAACACCATGAAGGCCTTCAAGGAGTGACTGTGCAAAAGTGTAACTACGAGATTATTTTTATTATCATTAACTGTGCAAATAATTTTTCCGATGAATCATTTTGTCTATAAAATGTCAAAATAATAAAATGATCACCACAGCCTAATGTGATCTGTTTCGTTTACTATCATTTGACAAAGCTGGAACCCACAAATCTTTGCCATTTCTGCTAGAAAAATCACTACAACGCTTAATCAATTTTACATTTTTTGTCAATACAATCGATTTATTGCTGGAGTTCTTGTGTTCTCTCTAATCCCTGTTTGAACAGACATCGTGTCTAACTCTTTTCTATGGCGACAGGATCAACACTGCATTCAAGTGTGGCTGTTCTAAACAGCTATAAACATATTGTATGTGGACGATACGCTAGATGAACTACTTTGTTACAAGCATACCCTGGTTGTTTTTTTGCCTTTTGAGTCCTCCTCAGGATGTGTTATGACCTCCATGAATGACCTTTTTTTTCTTCCTTTATGTGGCCTGCTGTTTATGTATTTAGTATTTGACTGTATAATTGTGCCTTCGGACTCTCATGTTTTTGTGCCTCCTCGACAAGAACAGTTCCCATTTAGAAAACGGTCAGCATGTCATGCTGGAGGAGAGTTTGCTGATTTGATTGGTCATCATTGAAATCTGCCCTATTCCATCTTCTGATAACATATTCCTGCTGGTAACAATACATTCTTTCTCTTGTTGCCCAGATTGTGCTGCAATCCATCGTGATTTCACTTGTTCCTCTGGTCACCAAAATAGCTAAATCTTTCTTGTCAGCACCCACATGTACCCATCTACCCACATGAGTTTCAACTTTACGTCTCTATATACTGTACTGCATGTATGGTTGAGGGTGTGTGCCTGCATAGAAAGGGGACAGTGGACTGTAGAGAGGAGTGAAGTACGCTGGTACTCTCTGTGCAAAAGAGAAAGCAGTAAGAAGGATGAGATGCGATGCTGTGGACTGAAGCTGATGAATTGTTTGTCCCTGTTGGGTGTGACATTTAGATTCATTTCTAGTGTGTCAGTATTGATTCTGTGTCTGTGAAACAGGCTGGCACAGAGGTTTTTGTGTGAGTGGGTGAGTTAGTATACAAGTGTGGGTTTATGTGTAGTATCATACAAGTCTACTAATCTCTTTCTCCTCTTCTCAGAAACTAAGGGCGAGCTGGAGGACCTTATGGCAGACATCAAGAAGTTGGCCAACAAAGTGCGCTCCAAATTAAAGAGTTAGTATGATTTTTCTATTTTCTCCTGCTAGAGATGCAACTAATGACTATTTTCTGTATCAGTCATCAATCAAACCCTTTGCTTGTTTTGTTCAAATAATTAGATGTTTAGTACACTAAAATTTCAAATATTGAGTAAGTGTCATGAGTTACATGAGCTGATCAGCAGCCAGAAAGTGTATTATGCATTACTTAAGATATGAAACAAGACGAAAAAGCTAATCTTTGTGTTTAAAGCTGCACCTAGTAAATGTTTACTAATTTTATCATAATTTACTGTTTTACAATTATAATTTTGTTCTCTTTTGGCTCCAGTATGAGGGATTTTCTTAACAAGTATGCTAAAGTTGAAACGACTAGTCAATTCATTGATAAGTCAATTGATCAGTAACTATTATCATTATCAATTAATTGTTTATGTAATTTTTTAAAGCAAAAATAATAAATATTTAAAGATTCCTCTAATTTGAGGATTTTCTGTTTTTCTATGTCTTACATCATAAAAAACTAAATATTTTGGGGTTATGCAGTGTTGGTTGGATAACAAAAGACCAATTAGGAGATCAAAGTGTAATCTAAAAAATTGTGACAAATGTTTTTAAATTAACTTTCACTTTCATTTTCTGATATTTTATAGACAAAAGTAAATGGCAGATTAATTGATAATAAAAATAATAATGTGTTGCAGCCCTGAAATCTGTATTACAATATTATGACTACATCCATAAGCAGTGTGTGCAGCTGTTTCTCTTTCATGTGATGTGACGGCCTAGAGCTTGCTCAGGAGAGGAGAGAGGGTAAGAAGTGAGCCATAAAGCGACAGTGAACTGTATAGCACATGGCAGCTGACAGACAACTCAGTTTACACTAGTAGATTCTGCACTGCAGTGGGCAGAGTGATAAGTGTCACTTGCCACAGAGGCGGTGATTCATATGCACGAGCACATACAAGTTTTATTCACACACGCAAACTGACTAATGTTACAGTAATATACAGGCATAAAGTGTTTGTGTTTATAATATATAAAATAAATAGTTATTATTATGTGTGTGCGTGTATGTGTGAGGCATCTAATCTTCTTATTCTGGTTTGTCTGCCACCTTCTCTGCTTTGCTTGTACATTTTAACTCTCATTTTATTCCCTACAGGATTCAGGTGTCGAAAAATAGGGGTCAGAGATAAAATATCTGTACACAGTATCTTTCAGGAAAGTAGAGCACAACTTCAGTGCAGAGAGCTAGAAGATAATAGCCCCAATCCCTCACCCTGTGTGCCTACAGATACACAAACACAAACACACAGTATCGTGTGCACAGTATCGTATGTACACTGATACATTCACTTGACTATGCTATAAGGCAGAACAGGATCTGCATCACCGGCCACTAACTGTGTCACTCCAACTCATATTAATCTCATATTAATAGTTGCGACAGGATACTTTTCTGTAACTGTGTGTGTGTGTGTGTGTGTGTGTGTGTGTGTGTGTGTGTGTGTGTGTGTGTGTGTGTGTGTGTGACAGGACTTCTTCACTATCTTTTGCTTTGCAATTCTCAATCATTTTAATGTATTTAGTAAATTAATTTCTTCAAAAACAGAAAATGGATGGATTAAAAATATTTAAATAAACATATCTTTAGCAGCTATTGAAATTTCTGTAGAGAAACACTCTCTTTGTAAAGTGTAAGTTAAGACAATGGGCCTTATGCAAGAACATTTTTGTAATTTTACCCTATCTGTTAGACTTGCTCATGTGATTTAGCAAACTCTCTTAACTGCATGAACTTGTAAATTGCTTGTTTCAACTTGATGAGAGCAACCTGGTCATGAGTAAGTGCTAGTTTCAGACAAATGATAATTCTTAAGGCAAACAAATGTTTTTAACTTGTGGAGAATGGCAGACTGTCTGTCTATGACCCGTATGGCAGGTTTGGACCACTCATGAATTTTGGTCGTAATTTTAAAAAACTGGAAAATTGGTGAATACAACAAGTTCTTGTGGTGTCCGAACAATAATGCTGCGATGATGTGTTGAGAGGAAACCCGCTTGACACTGTTCTTGATCATAAAAGTTTATTACATCAAGGAGTTCAGCATCAATTACAAGATCTGCAGCAGCTTGGAGAGTGACCCAGCCCGATGGCCACTCTGTCTCTCTGTACATCAAACATAGCTTATATAGAATATGTTTGGTATCTGTTAGGTACCATAGAAGGGTTGGAGTCTGCAAAATAAAAGGTCAAACCCATAGAAGGGTACAGTACTATTCTGAGGTAACAAAACAGGGGTTAGAGGTCAAATTCTATAGAAGGGTTCAGTCCCTACATAACCACCAATCACTGCTCTCCCCGTAGAAGGTCACTGACCCTCTGTCCTACTGCTACAGTACTATTTTGAACTGTTATGAGTCAAATGCATAAGCACTGGACACTGCATTCTCGCAAATAACTTGTACGTGCCACTTAAAAAAAATTGTGAAAAGTTGTTCAGCCTTGACGCCCATTTTCTTGTACTGTATATACTGCTTGATAAAGATATATGTAGATATACAATTAAAAAACTTTTATGCTGTGAGTTTTGAAGCTACATTTTCTACACTGTGGGCAGTAAGGTTCTAACTTACTATGTGCTCAGTGGGTTTTAGATACACTGAGGTTGTAGGTGACAGCAGCCTGAATCTGTGAAGTCACAGATTCAAAAAAGAATGTGACAAGGAGGGAGTCCATGCAAGGTACTTACTTGAAACAAGTATAATTTATTGAACTAATGTAAACACAACTACAAAAGGTGCCTTAGCATGGATGTAAGCTGTATGAAGGAAGAGAATGGACTGAATACATGGGCCCATGGACCTACTGTATATACTGTAGGTGCGCTTAATCAGCTGACGACCTTCCCAAGCCAGCCAATTGCCACTGAGGTTGGCCAGGACAATCTCCAAGACAGTGGGAGGAGCATTATACCACAAATGCAGCAAATCAAACTCCATATTATCTCAAAATTACTGATATTACCAAACGCATTAAAGTAAATTAAAGCCATTGTCATTTCCCTAGAACAATCAAGCAGCTATCTTGGATCACAAAGTCGGGGTAGTGCAGTTCTCCCAACTTTTCAAGTCAGAAATCTGACTTAAGGGGGCGTTCCCTTTGAAAATTCTGACTTTGAACTCAGAAATTTCGACTTCCCATGTCAAATGGAACGCACCATAACTGTTGACACTGCTTTTAAAATAACAAATTCCTTTAAACCTAGGTACAAATATTACTTTTAAGTGATCTTAAAGTTATACTGTTTATTTGTGTATCTTAAAAGTCTATGTTGAATGTCCTTTGGTTGTTGTTGTATGTATGGTGTCCCTATCTGTAACTGTGCACTGTCAACATGCTGCTGTTTTGGCCAGGTCTCTCTTTAAAAAGAGGTTTTAAATCTAAATGACATCATGAAGGAAAAGACACTAATGGCTGAAATGTTAGTGTTGATTGAAGTTAGATGTGTGATATTCTGTTATGCAGTAAGTGAACCTGTTAACTCTGTTGGCTCAAGCTATTTGCATGAACAAGGAGGTGTACAGAGCGTACAGTATAAGCAGCCGCAGGTGTAGACATCTCACAAAATGTCCCTGAATGTGCAAGAGCTGATACAGCCAGCATGTCCCAGTTTAAGTGACAAAAAAATGGGAATGTAAATGAGCAGTCGCTTACATCTCTGTATAATTCAATACTTGATTGAGTACTTCACAAGGTCTCACATTGACAGTCTCTTTAATTTACATTATTATACTCAGTAATGGTTCCTCTACAATGATTTCCTGAGGTGTGACTGTGACAGAGCAGTGCAGAAAGTGCTTATTACAAGTAAAAGCTTAAAAAATCCTCTGAAGAATAAAGAAAAGAGCAGAGTCATCCTAATAATTTATATCTTGCTAAATTTCTTAATAATCAGACTTCTACCACTCATTTTATTCACTTTACCATTGAGTGACTGACTTGATGTGTGATTAGTCCATATTTGTATCATTCAGAGACATTCTATACATGACACTCTCAGTATAATATTTTATTTTCATACTGGAACAAAATAACCCCATTTGGCTATATTTGTAGTTTTATATAGATCAGGTCCCTCAGTGCATCCAACACTTTGGATCAGAGCAAGATATTTTGAAAACTACTGACCAGATAATCATTACATTTAGTGTGAATATTCATGGCTTCCAGAGGATTATTCCAGAGGTACTAGCTGCTTCTCTCATTACAAAAACAGGGCTGGATTTCTATGAAATTTACTGTGGATTTTTAATGATCTCCTGAGATTGAATCCTTGTGTTTCTGATGACACCATTTCTTACACCGTCTTCAGGTCAAAATGTCAGCTTTGCACACAAAGTAAAGTACTCATAATCTGTTAGGCCTTGGGGTTTTCTGAGCAGATTTCGTCTCTCATGGATTCAATACAGTCCTTGTGATTTTATGAACCTCATCACTGTTCCTCCAGTGCAAGTGTGCCACCACTGCTAAGACTCTAAGGACACTAAAGTCATCACTATGTTGTTTGTTTCATCTAACACTTTTGTATTGTGTGGTGTAATGAAACCCTAGAGGTAGACAGCGGCACTGTGGTCTTTATTTATGTTTGTGTTGATTTTCATGAGTGGCACTCACCCTGTAATTGAGTATACATTTTGTGTACATCTTTTCAGGTATCCAACAAACCATTGAGCAAGAAGAAGGCCAGAACAGGTCATCAGCTGACCTTAGGATACGCAAGACACAGGTACAGCTCAGGACAGAAAGCAGCTAAGTCAGCTGTGTCCCAATTGCAAACCACATAGTAATTGTACACAGGATGGTTTAATTTTTTATATAAAAGAAAGATAATTTACTAGTGTGCACAAGAAAAATATACAGTACGTATACCAGCGAATAGTCAAACTGCAATTTTGGAATGCCACTGTCAATTAAACTTCACCAGGAAAAAGTTAAATGTTTAATAATAATGTAATGCTTATTTTTTCTTTGCCAAAACCTATCTGGAGCTCATTGTTGTAATTTACAAAACAATGTGCAGCTGTTAGAAGCTCCTTGTTTACAGGACAAAAGGGGACAAAATTGCTCAAAACTTTATTAGAATTAGTATGCAATATAGAATGGGGACACAGCTGCACTGACTGTTGTGTTTGCACCTGTTCATATACCATTTTAATGACTTACAAAGTCTACTGCTGCCATTGAGCAGGTGTCGTGAAGTGTTATGGTGTTCGTCATTCTATCTCCAGCACTCCACACTGTCCCGTAAGTTTGTTGAGGTGATGTCAGAATACAACACCACCCAGTCGGACTACAGGGAGCGCTGCAAGGGACGCATTCAGAGACAGCTGGAGATCAGTGAGTAGACCTGGGAGACTAAACCCTCCACCATCCTTCATACTGCATAACTCTGCATGATTTAAAGTAACACATCTGCATCTCTTCTCATGTACATAGTGTTTGGTTATGGTGCAGTTTTTTTCAAACGCTGGTGTTGCATTAGAGATTCAAGATAACATTTGTGCAGTTTGAGTGAGCTTATACCACAAACAACGTGTTTTCAATTACAGCAAATTACTTTTTGAAAGTCAGACTTGACGATCACCTCTTGACATGTCTTGGTTTTGGCACATTTTCAGTCAAGAAAGAGTAGGGATGGGAATTAACACTGTTGGGGAAAGAGGGATCATCATCACAATTGGAGAACAATGGCAGAAAACGGTTGTGACATCCTGATCTTTGTGTTGGTGTGTCATGTGGTGCCCCAGATGGCACAGTGGTTGTCTTCCGCTCAGTCACACTACAGGGGATGAAACAAGTGAGTGTCACTCTTGATGCTCACTTTCATTTTTGATCCCCCAGGTTTGTCAGATAAGACACATGGACTTGCTGTTAATTAAGTGAAACGTTTGGTCAGCTTTGGTAATTTATTTCATGATTTTGTTTCCTCGTGTTTTTTTCAGGTTCATGTCAAAACAGGAAATGGGAAATGGCATTTTTCCCTGGTGTATTTTAAATCCTAAACCAGGCGTCATTCTCTTCATTTTCATCCTCCCCCTGTAATTAGTTAGATGTTAGTTACATGTTAATTAGGATAAAAATATACCCTGCGCCCACATTCTCCATCACTACGTAAATGTTCAAAATCATTCTACACCTGCACAGTTTAAGCATCATCCATTTTTGCAAAAGCATTACTTTGTACTATGTTATTACTGCATACTCTTACTAAAGTGTGAGGATGTGAAGTAAAGATGTGCCAGTACTGCTACACATCTCTAAATGTATGATTTATTGGATACTCTTCTAAGACTAGTCCCTGTCTTTTTAAGGCAAGAAGCACCATGGTTGCTAAAGCAGGCCCTTCACTCATCTCTATTTTAGAAGACTTTGCTTTGTGCATTCTGGCCGGAGAAAACGCTTCGTCAACTCAACATCCTGATAGTGCCATAACCATTTCACATGCATGGTCTAAAGTAATATGTCTTTGTGTTAAACTGTTGTGTAACAGTTAAATTAACCATAAATGAATAGTCACCCATCAACATTCACTGTACTTGGTGGTCATGCAGTTTGATTTTGAAACATCCACATGTAATGCTTATACAAATATATTAAATGCATTATTTTCTGTCTATAACATTTATTATAATGAAAGAAGAGGTTGTAACTTGGGTGGGAGAAATAATTTACCTTAGCTCCTAGCTGTTGGCTGTATTTCAATTTCAACTTTATTTTCTCCAAGGGTAGATTTGTCTTGCAGCCATGTAAAACAGACATGAACATAAAACATAATGAATACATAACGCATAGTACAAATATGGATAAACTAATGCTAAAAACCCTCTGCGCAAACCCCCATAAAACAATGTATGTCAGTGACAGCATAATATAACATACATCCAACATCATCATCGATGGCACTTATGTAGGAATGAGTACAAAAAAACTGTCCTTTATTCATTTTGTTTATAGTGAAATTTCATCTAAAACGCATACTTCACCATTATGCGTGCACACGCCACTCAGCTCAGATGTGAGCTCCTCTCACTCGTGTGACACTGTATGTGTAAAATGTTTTGACAGGTATTAGCTGCAGGCCCCGGGGCTCTTGGACCAGGCAGATGCAACGGCCAGCTGCCCCTAACAGTCATCGGGATACAGTCACCTTATACAAAAGGCACACACACACTCATGCATGCATGCAGAGACGAACACTATGACTCACTTAGTGGTAAAAGCAGAGGAGAGCAGGTGCAGTTATGTTGCAGAGTACTTGGCATAGACGTAATTTCCTGTGGCCATCTGTCAGTTTAGAGTGGACACATGCAGCAGGTCTGTATGTGTGAACACTGCCCAGTGTGATCCAGTCAAAAGAACAGCAGTGACAACACACAGTAGTTTCTGGGGTTAATCAAAGGACCCCTCATGGAATAAAAGCACACACACACACACACCTGACGCACTTTTTCCTTTAGCTCCTCCAGATCCATTTGGATTTAAAAGTGTCAGATGGTGGAGTCACAGGAGTCCTTAGCTGATATCACCTGTCATCAAGGAAGGGAGATTAGACACACACACAGAGAGAGGGCAGAGAAATACAGTTTTTGGTTTTGAAGGAAACAAGACCGCAAGCTTTTCCCTTCAGATTACATTTGATCTGTATTTTGTTCAAACACAATTTTATTCCTTAAAGGTTAAATGGCAAGAGAGCTGTGCTTCTGTTGTGCCAACCCCTTTGACTTGTTTCTATGTGAATCAATAATAGTGTGTCACACACAGAGGGAAACATATAACAATATCGATGTTTCTTCTGCTCCTTTCCTGTTTGCCTCTGGATAAAGAGATAAAATAAACAGGAAAGCAAGACTGTAACATAATGTAAACATGTAATTGTCAAGAGAATGTCATTTTTGAGAAGTCAGAAGTTAAACCACTGGAAGTAAGCAAAGAAAATGTTTTGAGTATCTGTTAAGCTGCTTTTTAAGTAAACAGAGAATAGACTAGAATGGATACCTCTCATGTTCGTACAGTAATTATGAAGCTTGAACTAGGAGATGATTAGCTTAGCTTAGCACAAAGACTGGAAACAGGGGGAAACAACTAGCCTGGCTCTGTCCAGAGGTATCAAAAGCAACTGAGCAGCACCTCCAAAAATCACTAATTAACACATTAGATCTTGTTTGTTTGATCCATACAAAAACCAAAGTGTACAAATGTCATGTTGTGGCAACCAACTAAGAAGTTACTGCTCCCTGTAATCCAGCACATCACCCCCCTTAAAACCATATGACGTTGTCACACTTTCATACAAGTTAAACAAACAAGAAACAGCATGTGAATTAATGAACTTAAGAGGTGGTGGTAGACTTTCTACCTTTGAACCTCTGTTCCCCCGGCTTTCAGCCCTGGTTCCAGCTTCATTTAACGTACAGATAGAAAGGTTATATCAATCTTCTCATCTACCTCTCGACAATAAAGCGTGTATCACTAAAATGTTATTCCTTTAAAAGCACATGTCTTAAGTGACCTATTGGAGGTTAACCGCAGTAACACATCAGTTTGAATGTTTTTGAATTGCCAGTTAGGACTGAAAAACTACTTTCATATTTTCAGCCACTACAATGGCAATGCTTTAGCCTTTTATTTTATTATTGCTTGAGAATGCAGAATATCAGACATTCATTTGCTTCCATAAGCAGACAGGCAGACCCAGCAGGTTGGAGGGAATGTTGGTCACAGGCATCGCAGGGCCTCCTTGACATTTGATTGTTATGATTTATTTCCCTGCGGACACCCCCTCTTTCTCAGTGCCAGGGAAAAAGACGAGATGTACACCAACATTGCTGCGTAACAAACAGATTGGCTTATATGTGTGCAGATAAGCTATACATGCTTTTCTCATTCCTTTGCAGGAGAAACTGCAGCTAACAGAGCCATAAAAATCAGCCTCGTCGTTCGCTCTGCGTGTGCGTGGTTTGCCTTTTGCGCTCTGTTCCCTGGGGGTCTCACTTCATTTGTGTTACATAGCAATGGAAATGAAATAATACTGTTACTGGTAGCAACATAGAACTGTATGAATGATTTAATAGACCATAAATGCTATGGGTGAAGAGCGACTTCTTAGCTTCATATTAGGCTTCTCAGGGTTTGGGTCTCCATGGTAACAAATAAGAGCCTCCCTCAGAGCCTGTCAGGGCTTTAAAAAAAAAAGCCAATGAGTGTGTATGTGTGTAGGAAGTGAGATAAATAGGGTAGCGTAGGACCACCAGAGTGCCTTTGGTTTTTTTTTTCCTTCACTATTATCCATGACTCATTGTCACTCCTCTCTGCCCTTTAAACTCTAACTCTGACCCTCTTTAATGTTGTAATTTTAGCCTTAATGATAGAGAGATTATTTATTATCAGCGAGACCTGGAGAATAGGTAATTCATCACAGTGATGCGGTGAACGTGGTCTCTCACTCCTCTTTGAGGGCTGTCCTCATCCTCTCATTTGTCAAACTGCAAAATGTCATTGCTGAACATGATTAGATTGTTAATCAAGGCAATAAAAGCAGCCCGACCGCTTAACCACCAACTAAATGAAATTCATTGGTTTGATACGGATATGAAGTTTGGATTAGACACAATATGCCCAGTGTATGAGTGGAGAAATGAACAAAAGTGCGTTCTGAAACACAGACACTTACATGCACCAGTAAACATTAGAGAACAGCTTCATAGGTATTCTGTTCATGAAGGCAATCATTGACTCTGACTCATCACTCACCATCAACCTATCTGCTCTGCCACTAAGGCCTCCACAGCAACGACCAGTCTTCATCACACATATAAACACAATATACACACACTCTCACACACACCCTTAAGGTCAGCCTCAGGGACACCATGAGAGGTTTTGGAGCTGAATCCAAAATCTCCCAGGAGCCACCACTGAAGGAGGCTCAGTGGAGAGAAAAAGTACCTGACCGAGGTAGCTTCACGTTGAGTCATTCAGTTATAGGTAAAAATTAAGTGTCTTGTTTTTGTTTAGTATTTTGTTTGATATTTTAGGAAACACACTTATTTCCTTTTTGCAAAGCGTCAGTTTAGCAGATTGATACCACTTTCATGTCTGTATGGTAAATATAAAGTTACCTAATGGCTAATGACTAGCTGCTAGCCCCTGTTTCTTTGCGTTCTGTTCTGTGAATAAGCATATTTCCCAAAATGTCAAACTATCCCTTGAAACACAAACTATGGCTAGTGTAACATAATAAATTTGCTCTTCCTATACTGATGTAGCTTGAGTGGTCTTTAATACCTCAACAGACAGATGTCACCAGCTAGCCTGCTGTAACTCATAAGCAAGCTAACATAGCAAAGCTACTTTTGCTCACAGCAGTAGTTTTTTAAATGTCTCTTCTCTTTTAGTATTGTTGTTTTCTTTCCTATAAAGTACTGGATACTCTTTAGGTCTTTAAAATCCTTCAAATGAAAATACCTGAGAGGGAAAAAACAATCTTTTGCTCATCCTCCACTCCTGTAGTCCACATTAAGGCCATATCCTGTGTTGTGTGGGGTCATAATTAGACATTGCTTTTTAGACTACGGGTCACAAACCAGAATGGTTGATTACTTGCTTCCGTGTTCACATGTAAGTGACATTTCTGTTCCAGGCTAAAAGAGCAAGAGCAAGTTGTATTTTCAGAAAGACAATGTTGTGACAATTTCTTGTCATTGGTTGAATTTTATGTAGTTGCACTCCTGAGATTTTACTAATACTTTATATGTCTTTCATATCAAACCCCTGCTCCTTGGTATGAAATAACTTGCAGATTAATTTTCCTAATTTATAAGTCTTTATTATTTTCTTGTTTGCTAAAACGGTATGCCTGAATAACATTAGCATGATCAATGTAACAAATGAGAGACATTAAACTAACTGCTCAACTCGTATGTCCACCAGCTTATGGTTAGAGGGGGCACAGTGAGTCTTGATGGGGAAGAGATAGTACATAGGCCTACTGTATATATTGTATCTAGCCCCTGAGAGGATTTAAAATGTGCAAAGGAAAGATTGGAGATGATGCTGAGTCTGAATGTAACTTACAGTGTCAGTGGGGCAGAAATGGAGCCCAAGAGAAGCAGCTCTGCAGGCGAAGTCAGCGGTCATACGTGAGGATGTTAATGTAGTTGCAGCAAAGAGCTGTAGGGGAATGTTTATGAAGTAGGACAACTCTGTCTGGGGAAATTAAAGATGGATGAGGGGCAAACACATCAGCAGGAAGAAGCAATAAGATGTGCTGTCATACATGCAGGGTCTGTAGATAGAAAGATAGAAAGTTTGTTGGGGGGAGCCATGAGTATTGAGGCAAACTTAATAAATAGATGACTTTTCTTTACTCTGTATACTCAAGATTTTATGAGCAACACACCCAAGGATTAATACTCACTAGTTTTTCCTATCCTGAAAATTGAAATGTCAAAAAATATTATCTGCAAGTATTAACCTCTACAAATGACTTGCAGACTGACCCAAGCTGTTCCGATACTATACAAACTCAATATTTGCACTGACTTGCTCCTTTTAAGTACCCTAAAATGCAGTCCCTTACCTTCATTTGTTACTGGTCACATCTTTTTAACGGCAAGAACATTAAACTTGTAGTTTTTAAAAACCACAGAGACAGAGATAGCAACTGTTTAAAATAGAATACAAAACATTTATAACACAGAGGTTAATGACACTCATGTCATGCACAGGATAAAAAAGGGAAATATAGGACTATGTAATAGGTCATCATGAGCAGTTTTTGCTCTTGAGCTTCAAAACAGATCAAAGTCCACTGTTACAAATAGATCTACAGAGGAGGAGAAGTAGTAAATGTTAGCCTCAGGAGAAGGAGAAATCAGTAATTTGCATACTAAATTATGCTCATATCAGACAAGCAGGTGGATCTGAAAGACCTTATGAAGAGAGTGGTCAATATGAAAGTGGTGGGATTAAGTTATTGTTAGATGTCTAAACTGCTGATCGGAACATGTCAGGCTGAAGTTCACTTGGTAGTATTTTAACTGTAAGCCTGTTTGTTAGTGTAAGTGTAAGTGTTGGGACAAAGCAATGTTTATATGACTGAAGTTGTGTCTGGTGTTGGGAGTGTGCATGTGGAGGCTAGTAGTTGTGGGACAGCACAATTTCTAACCAAGCCTAAACATTTGAGATACCTGGTTGACTACTGACAAATCCACAAACACACACTTAATCCTGTAACATTCAGATCAGCTAAAAGTAAAAGTTTAGGATGTTGATTTTAAGTCCAGATCTATGATGATCTAGACCTCTTCAGTAGCTGTTTTTGTATTACTACATCTGTTTTGACTCCTTTTACAGATGCTCAGCCCAAATTATCAGGATTTTTACGTCACATCCACCGCTGTTCAGAGAGATGGAAGAATAAAATAGGGAGTTTAAAATGCAGTAGAGGCAGTAGAGACAGATGGATATAGAAAATGAGCATGTGGAAAAGACAGGCACACAGCTCTTGTTTTAATTAATCCTCCGACAGACATTAAGGAGGAGGGGAGTTATATTAGTGTTTCCTAATGTAGACTTCATTCATTGCAGTTTGGAGAACATTTTAATCCAATAGCATTGCCCACCTACACTTCTTAATTACTGGGCTTAAATTTATTGAAGCCACACATTTGGTTAATCTCTTCAACTCCTACAAACATCATGTTTGCAATCATTGCTGTTATAGATGTTTATGGATATGTTTTTGCCCTTCTAGCTGGGAGAAACACAACAAATGAGGAGCTGGAGAGCATGTTGGAGAGTGACAACCCAGCTATTTTTACCTCGGGGGTAAGTGATACAACAAATGCAACATAATTGTGCACAAAGCTTGTTTTAAAATCAGATTCTCCCCTTTAACTCTTTCCTTCTTTTGGACCATCTTAGATTATAATGGACAACATCACAGAGCAAGCTATGAATGAGATCGAGACACGGCACACTGAGATTATCAAGCTGGAAAACAGCATCAGAGAGCTTCACGACATGTTCATGGACATGGCCATGCTGGTGGAGAGCCAGGTGAAAACATTGATCCTCTCTCAGTACCTACAGCTGTGTGCTTTGGGGCTTAGCCAAATGCATATGAAAACGGACCTGTAGATAATAAATTCATTCATAAATTAGCAATCCATTTACATGGATGATATTCAGAAGAGTTACAATTCCAGTTTCTAGATTCAGAATTTCTTCCTGTGAGGGGTTTGAAAGGGTACCCTGGTTTATGGAAAAGTTCAGGAGCACATTGTGTTCACAATTGTAAAATCACTAACCATCTAACCAGGCAAGCCTGCTGTTTCTCCTTATGATGAAAAAAGCTCCACTTCAGGCAGACAAGACAATTGGCAGTCTTTTTATTTACATACAAGTTGTAGAGTGTATTAGTATAGATTTCAGCCTATTTTTGCCAACAGAGTTGGAAGGAGGTTGTGTTTTCAGCTCCATCTGGTTGTCTGTTTGCAAAATATCTCAGTAAATTTAGACAGAATTTGGGGCACAGAAGTTGGTGGGATTTTTTGTACATAATAATCATGCTGCATTCATGAGCTGGAAGGAAAATCTGACATCTGTGACTTGGCGACTAAACAGCATTACATTTTAAACAAGCCTTAATTTTTACAGGGGGCTTTGGCTTAGTAAAATAATTGTTGAAAATTAATTTAGGTTTGTTATTTCCCTGTGGTAGAAATGTTCTTCTGTTAGAGAACAGAGATTTTGTATTGTGTTTATTGTACTGAGGAACTTCCATCATCCAGTGAGCAGTGAACATGTTTTCTCTGACAATATGTAGTTTCCTTATATATATTCTTCAAAGCCACATACGTATGTGGCTTTGCTCTTCTCAGTGAAGTGTCAAGCTTCAGGTACATATGTAGGCTATGTGTGACTGCATGAGTGTGTGGGCCGAACCCCCACAGAGATGAATGGTTTCGCTCATCAGAAATACTCGGTCTGAATTATGCAAAAGGAAAACTGAGCACATGAATAAGAAAATATGCTGAATGACAAATATGAAAGTAAATTGTGTCATGTAAGTGATATGAATTATAACAGAACAATGCAATAGTAGGCTTCCCCTCATAATTGTAGTGTGGGAGTGATAATTGTTTAAATGTCTAATAATTTTGTTGTATTGTGTGTGTTTGTGTGTATACTCTTTTCTTCTCTTGTCACGCATATGGATGTTCTAATTCTAAATAATTAAATGAACTAACTCTTCCTTTATTAACGGAATGCCATGTCATTTAAGATTATACTTTTTGTTAGAATGTTTGTTAATCTTGCCTTTCTCAGCTTTGCACTCTCTTTCCCTCTTTTTTCTTTTCCACAACACAACACCACCACAATGACTCTAAGCTCTAGAGATTTGAGAACAGCACTCCCCTTCTAATACAGCAAGGTAATTTACCTGTGATTCCTCTTTTCTGTTGTTTTTTTAAATACTTAAATGGTTGCAGTAGACGCATGAAGAGCTGTATACACTGGTTTGCCTTAATATTCACTGTGATGCAAAAGGGTTAATTCTTTCTTTTGCCTACATTCCTGGGTCAGTGCTAAATGTGCAATAATTCTTTGTAACTAGGCATAATATATTAATCATAAAATATATATATAAACATTAGAGCTAAATAAACTTAAGAAAATATATATAACATATAACATTCATCAGACTTTATTTATTATTACTTAAAACAGTGAAATGTAACTAGTTGGTACTGATTGTGAGTTCAGGCAGATTTCTGCTGTCACCACCACCACTACACACACTCTGTCTGTGTCTTGTTTCTGTGCAGGGTGAACTGGTGAACAACATTGAGCGGAGGGTGCTGGAGGCTCAGGAATATGTGGAGCAGGCAAAGGAGAACATCCCAAAATGCAAAAAGTTCAAAAAGACCAGCAGACGGGTGAGATGCAAGATGCACACATTGTACAAACTGACTCATTATTTCTCTTTTTTCCTTTTTTCCTTTCTCCCTCTCTGCTTCCCCTTCTCTCTCCTTCTCATTCACCCATTATTCCTCCCCTTTCCCTCACCTCCTCTCAATCTGTATCCACTCCTCCTTCTCCTCCTGCCTCCACATCTGTCTCCCTCTTTCTTCTTCTGTCTGCATGTTTTCCACGCCTCCTCTGTAACTAACCTGTCCTAGGGGGAAATGATAGACCGCATAGAGTACAATGTGGAGCACTCGGTAGACTATGTGGAGAGGGCGGTATCAGACACTAAGAAGGCGGTTAAATACCAGAGTAAAGCACGGAGGGTGAGTTGCATATACAACAAAACAATGCACGTGCACAAACATGCTATCACGTGAAAAAAATTATACATCACTTCAGAAGCATTGCATGCATATATTGTAGTATGTAACTGTAACTGTTGTCATTATGTGTGCATGCTCACCTGTCATGTATTCTGCATGTGGACCATGTGTGTCCTGAATGTATTGACATGGTCACTTTGAGCAGTGATTTCCAACCAGGAATACATGCTCCATGATACTGCTGCAGTTACCAGAGTGCACTAAAAGTTGTTGAGTAGCTCATCTGTTTTGAAAAACTAAATTTATAATGTTTAGGAGTATAGGATTACAAATTGGTGTGAGGCTGATCGTGAGTATGCTCATTGTCAAAATAACCAATGAACTACCAGCTACAACAGGCTGACTGCACAGGACACAGAACCTGTAAGCTGTAACAACACCACCTGCTGCAGAGAGTTTGTGAAATCTGGTAAGCAAGCAAGCAGAAAAGCCGAAATAGATAGATAAAAGTAATGGATAAATTACTGACATGTCCAATGTAGCCCGCGCCAATTGGTTGGGGTACACATGCAAACAGCTCTCTTAATACATCCACGATAAACCCCTGTAAAAACATAAAATGATTTTACACCAGTTTTTGTACAGATGTACATATACAAACATATAAGGTGTTTATTAGTGAGTTTAAGAGGTGCTGGTAGGTGAATTTTGTTACCTCCGGACAGAGCCAGGCTAGTGGTAGCGTTATAAATGTTAATTTAAACAAGCCAGCTAAAAAAAGCCCAAACATCATCATGTCTTGTATAAAAAATTCATCCAAAAGACCAACAACTTGAAACATCAGTGAAGTGTGTCAATGAAGAGGTACGCCAGCTCATCTGAGGAGCTGTACAGCAGACAAAAATGACTGAAAACTTCTGTTCAGTTAATAAAGAGGGTTTTTCACTGGTATACTTGTCCTTCCTTCATTTAACCATCTGCACTGCAGTGGAACAACTCTGCCACCTCTTGGTTAATATATATAATAGCACTCAAAGGTAGAGGAATTTCATACATCACATGACCCCAATTCAGCACAGGGGTCATTTACATGACTATGTGATTATTTCCCCATTTATAATCATATACAGTGCAAAAGCAAAGTTTCTTTCTTTCTTTCTTTCTTTTCCTCCTTCCTTCTGTCTCTGTTTCTCATTCGTCTCTCCTACATCCATTGAATCATTATTTGACACTTTTCCCTCCTTGTTCCCCATCCCACCCCCCTTCCAGAAGATGTTCCTGATAGGAGGTTGTATTGCAGTATGTCTGACCGTCCTCGTTATTTCCCTCGCAGTGGGACTCAGTTAGGACCCTAACAAATCCCTACAGAGAAGGAGGGGATGCCTCTGTCCCAGTCAGCAGTTAAAATGTACTGTAACTGCTCATGAAGTTGAGAGCCTTTTAAATTATTATTTTTTATGCCTTTTCTAAACTAAACAGTCAAAAACATTGAGGAACTAACTTGTGTTCTGTGTCTGTATCATGATTCACATACCTTTGTCATGTGCATGTTCTACAGTCTGTTGAAGAGCTATGCATGTTTTTTAATAGCACAAAGCTGCAGATATGTGGTTATGTCCATTTATAATCAAAATAAACGTGTTGACTTAGATTTTTCAAAAACAAAAAGAATTTTCAAAGCACACATAGCTCAGCTATATAAGTTTGTGAACTGTCAGCCTCTCACATACTTGTAGATGTATCTTATATTGAGAACCCTGATGATGTTTTGGGTTTTTTTGAGTCCATGATCACTGTTTTGCCTTGTTTGTAGCATTAAAGGAATACTTTGACAATTTGGGAAGTAAACGTATTCGCTTTCTTTCCAAGATTTAGATAAGAGGATCGATTAAAAAAAACATTAAGTTGTGGTTTTATAGTGGTTATGTGATGGACCATCCATTGGCCTTGTGCAGTGAGTTTTTTGAATCTCCAGTCCAGCACATAAAACCCATGGATGTAATATAAAAACTGGATACTGCACTCCAAGATCCCTCCCGCAGCCCTCACAGTTGAATGAAGATTGCTCATGAAGTCTCCTAGCTTCCAGGTTTGCTCCTGCATTGTGCGGCCCACTGCACAGACTCATTAGTGTTTAGTCGTCGTTTGTATAATTCAGTTTTTTTACAGATCAAACAAAATATAAAGTGTTAATTGATGAGCCTTAGAGGTGTTGTTAAGCAAATTTTGTTAACTTTGGACATATCTAAGCTAAACAGCTTCTTATTTACCATGCAAAAGTGTGGTATCGATCCTCTCATCTATCGGCTGAAAGCAAAAAAACGTATTGAAGCTGTTTCTTTAAAAATTGATAGAGACTGCAGATTCCATAGATTTCAAGAAGACACTACAGTTTTCTTTCATGCACTGGTCAATTTTGAGATTTGGGGTTTCTTTGCTTCCATAACATAGCATTAGATAATGCTTTGTTTGTGTATTTAAACATAACATTTCAGAAAACCTGTCATACAAAAAAATTATTGTCTTAAAGATATGTATAAAGATAGTAAAATTCCATTGTGTACGGCAATACAGGTGAAAAGGGTAAAAAAAACAAATGGATATCACCATGAAACTTGTTGACCAACTTGTCAGCCTCTAGTTGATTACAATATTAAAGGCAGTTTTCTCAAAATAAGTTCTTTCTCATACTTCCAGAAATCTCCACAAACGTTCCAGTTTTATTCCCATCTATATTCTGAGGTTTTTACAGAGGGGATTGTTCATAGATAATTTGTAACAAGATTTATTTAACATTTTATTTCTAAAAACATGACAGAAATTGATTTTTATGGCTGACAGTATTTTCTGATTTATGAAGTGATAAATAGAAATTTCCTCTTTAAAAACCTTTAATTAAAAAAAAAAAAATTAAACAAGAAGTTTGTACCTGGCTTTATCCAATGTCTAGATTTCTGTTGTGGAAATACATGCAAATTAGAACATATTTAATTAGTCAATGCCTAATTTGCATATTATCCATAACATTTAAAAAAAAAACTGTAATACTAAAATTATTGTCTTAAGTAAGAGTGTCATAGTAATATCTATTATTTAAAATATTTACCCTATTCACCTGTAGTGTATGGCTTTAAATGTTGGACATTGGCTGTTTATGAATGTATGTGGAGGAGTGCATGCTAAAAAGACATGTTTTACAATTTAATTTTGCCTAAAAGTCGCTGTGTGAACAGTCCTGGTGAACATCGGCACAGTCTTTATGTTGCTTTAAGCTTATTTCAGGAGGTAGCTGCATGTATTGCTGCCTGCCACATTGCTTCCTGTGGCATGTTTGAATATTGTGTATGTTGTTTAATGTGGTTTGAACAAAATGCAGGAACCAAATATTCATGGTTTTAAAAGCAGAAGATGTGGAAGTGCTTCTAAACAGTCACAGTCCAACAATATCATCAGATACATAAAAATCAAATAGTCTTTCTCCAAATTGCTGTTTTTCTAAACTGCATTTTGTTCTGATGATTATAAACATGGCTTAAAAGTAAAGAACAAGTTATATTCCTAATATGTTTTCCCCTACTCCCCATCTGCTGCCTTGGATGACTGTTTATCTGTTGTTTTTAACACTATGCAGAAGAAAATTATGATTATTATATGCTGTGTGGTTCTGGGAATTGTCATTGCTTCCATCGTTGGGGGAACACTGGCCTAAACCTCAACCTCAACCTCACAGTCACACTAAAAGACACACAGCCGCATACACAACAGAGCAAAAACACATCAAATGAACATATTTTCAGTCTTGTTTTCATGAATGCAATCTACATCCTGTATGACACATTTACACGCGGTGTACAGGGCCTGAGGTGTTTTCGCATGAGTTGCTATTTTGTAAATGTGTGGTGCTGCATACTGTTTATCTGAGTGTTGAGTGTTGTCAACGATATGGTGTTTCCAAAAGTGAATTCTTGAATGAAAACGTTACTAAATGATATGTAACACTAAACTAATACATTCCAACTTCCAAATAGGACACATATTCAGTTGTAATGTCTATTTCGCCACTAATCTGCAGTGTTTTCAAAGCCACATTATCTAAACCTCCGTTTATTTACATGTTATCTTTTTAAAGTCTTTACTTTGTTTCTCTTGTGTCTTCTACCTCCCTCCAAACACCCTGCATGGTTTAGTTCACTGTAAAGTAGTTTTTTAATTTGTATTGCAAAGGGGAAAGAAGATATGTTGGATATTTTGCTTGTAGAATCATCACACTGCCAAACTTTTTTAATCTTCTCTCTTGTAGTTTACGAAGGCAATGCTTCTGTACTTAACTTCATCTGGCCTTACCAGTTGTGCAGCATTTTTAACCACTGCTCCCGTGTTGTGCGTGAGTGCGTGCATGAATACATGTGAAAGAGGATATTTGTGTGTTCAGTTGTAGCTACATTTTTGAATGTGCAGAATGCCAGTCATGGGAAGAGAACATGAGTGTTTGTTACTAGCCACCTGTGTCTTTGTTTTGTATAAAGCGTGAACTGATATTAATCTCTTTCTAACACTCTAACACTGCCAGTACGTTCAAATAAGCTGTTAAAATGAAGTCTACTCTCGTTGGATTGATAATTCTGGTCTTTAAGTGACAAACCCTTGTTGTTTTATGTCTTTTTATAAACCCAGAGCTTTAACCAGAGTGTATCCTTCTGTCAAGCTACTTCTGTTTATTATTACAAGTGAACATGAGTCAGTGAAATCGTCAGCATGAAGTCAAGGACTCTTATATCAGTTTTCTGGCAACATCAGACATGCACAGATTGCAACCATGTTGCCATGATACCTACTCAACTTGTTGCATTTGTGTTGTATTGTGATGACATGAATTTGTTTGTTTAATTTGAGTTTGTTTTGTTTTGTTTTTTCAAGTAAACTTTGTCTGAAAATCACATATAGAGTTTGTGCATTGCTTTGCGTAAGTGCATTCACAGAGACCAAATGTTTCTGAAAGTCGCTTAAAGTGAAATTCTGGTATTTTTTGTTTTATTAAACCTTTATTTAAGGAGGAAAGGCTCATTGAGATTGAAAATCTCTTTTCCAAGAGAGTCCTGTCCAAGATAGACGGCAGCAAGTCATTATACAAAGTTGCAAGAATACAATACAACAATACAGATATCATAAAAAAACAAGAACAACTTAACTCACAATAATTGACACAGCTAAAAACTATGACACATAGTGGAATCAGACTCAGAGTCCTTCATCAGTGATTTAAAATTACCAATTTAATTCTATATTGAAGGGAGTTCCAAGCTAACAATTTATGATAAAACAGCACAAGTAAGAAGATACAAAACCCAGACGTTCCTTGTAAATAAAAGTGACTGAGTCTACAGGTTGCTAGGAAAGGCCATCCAACCCTGGCATTTAATATACTTGTTTCCAAAAAGTTTCAAAAGTAAAAGTGCTTTTATGCAGAACTTTCATATACTTTGTAAATACATTAAAATATTTTGATAATACTGAATTACAACTAGACATAATGTACAAAGTATTAAAAAGTCTGCGATTAGTATATATAGATATATATATAATCTATACATTAACATGTCAGCTGTACTTGGTTGTCCTAATTCTATTCTATATTTAAAATGTAATGTTTTAGCTGTTCCCAGGCACAAATAGACTAATTACCAATTTTCATCCCTTTGCTTGAAATGTACCATCAGCTGTATGGCATCTCTCTTTCAAGATGCACTCTGACAACACTGAGCTCTGGCTATTTCAAAATCATGAGTATGTTTAGAACATTGCATTACATTATATTAGCTGACATTTTATTCAAAGTGACTTAGTGAATAAGTGCATTCAACTGTGAGGATACAATCCAAATACTGCAAGAATCATGCAACTACATCAACTTCATCAAATATACTGAACTGCTTAAAGTCAAGTGCCACTGTGAAACAATAAGAGAAAGAGAGAGAGTTTTTCGTTTTCTGGGCCAAGGTGCAGTCTGAACAGATGAGTTTTTCATTTGATTTTGTTGAGCAGTAGCTGGGCCCCCTTGTAGAAAGGCAAGGCAAGGCAAGTTTATTTGTATAGCATATTTCAACAACAAGGGATTGGCGACCTGTCCAGGGTGTACCCCGCCTTTCGCCCAATGGCAGCTGGGATTGGCTCCAGCCCCCCGTGACCCTGTACGCAGGAAAAGTGGTTGACGATGGATGTATGGATGGATTTCAACAACAAGGCAATTCAAAGTGCTTTACATAAAAAAAGACTTTAAAAGTGATAGTGATAAGCAGATAAGTGGGATTGATAAGCAGATTGGCAGTAGCAGAGCCTCATGGACAGGCTGTGGTGTGTGGTTTGACCATGTCTTGGATGTAGGATGGGCCTGAACCATTCACAGCATGGTAGGCATGTACCGGTGTCTTGAATCAGATTGGAGCAGCCATTCAGTGCAGAATGCGGTGTAGTGTGGGAAAACTTTGGTAGGTTGAAGACGGTCAGATGGCAAATGTAAGCACACCAACCAGGAGTGAGTTGCAGTAATCTTGATGCAAGATGATGAGCTGGGACTAGATCCTGCGCCACCTCCTGCTCTATAGGTGATATAATTCCTCCAAGAAGTCCCCAAGAGGACATGGCGGGCAGTAGAGCACAATAATGTTTAATTTCACCGGATAAGTAAACAGATAGAGTAAAATCTCCTTTGGGGGAGATTAGCAAACAAATGACACCCCCTCTGCCAGCAGGTCAGGATGTGTAGGTGAAGGAGTAGGTTCAGGAGATGGCTGCAGTGGTGGAATTATTATCCAAGTCAAGGTAACAGCAAGGAAGTCCAGAGATGGCAAGGAGGTGTAGCCAAGGAGGAACCTTGCAGGAAGCTGACTGGCAGATCCACAGACACTCTGTGACAAGTTGTTGGCTGTGTGTGGAGCTGGTTGGATTACAGTGATGTTGTGAGCAGGTGTGTGATCTACTGGAATATAAAGTAGCCTATACACATATCAGAAAAGGAAAAAGCAGGTATATAGACAAAAAACGAAAAGATACTTAGCCCTGACAATGATAGTCGTCATCTCACTTCACACCCCACGAAGCACTCCCTCATCTTTGTATTTTTCAATTGGCAACAGAACTGCTAACCACACTCACTGCTAATTAACAATATAATGACCCTAAAGTGGTGAGGCCTGACAAGAAATGATGGCCTGGAATGAGCTCAAACTTTCAAATAGGAACCCAAAATGCTGACTGGCTCTGAGATCTAGAGATATGTGCACTCAGAGGAAAATCTGTCCAACATCCTGACTCTGGGCAAAGCTTTAGCTGACGTGAGAGAGCCAAAGAGGTGCATTAACTCTCCTCACTTCTTCTTTCACTAAGACTTGTCAACCATGACAGTATGATGCAGCTGCTTCAAGGGGTAGCACGATAGGTCAAGATGGATAGTGAAGACAAGAAGGCGCAGATTTTTAGAGAGCACAAAAAGATGAGTAAGTCCTATTGAAGACAAGGCAATCTTTACCCTCCAGTAACTGTCTATTTACTTTCTTTAATTCTTGAGTTCATTGAAGGCGTTGAACCTGTACATCAGGTTGCACTGGAGCTTTGCCAGAATGTTTTGAAGGCCGATTCTGTTATTCTGCTATTTCTTTCTTGCATTATAAGAATTTACTTCCCATTTTTGTAGTGCAACCATGTCCTTTTAGTACTTTACTTTCCATCTACTCGTGTTTGGACTCTCTGAAGTTCCCCTTTTCTCACAGTCAAAGCACACAAAACATTTACTTCCTCCTCTAGTCTCAAATCTACTGAGATTTGACAGTACATTGGTTTCAAATAAATAATAAAAAATATATATATTGTAGGGGGCCAGATTAAAACGTGACGAGATTTATTGTTAGGTTTAAAGCTGTCTCGCAAGACTCATGCAATTGACATTTTTCACACGCTCTCACGGCATACATTTTCTCAACCAGGGAAAAACAAATGTATAACTTAAAATGTCAACTGGCTGAGTGAATTAACAACTACGGATCAGAAGTGTTTTCACTTAGTTTTGTTTTCCAAACGGTTTGAAGAGGATAACGAATGCGCAGCAGATTATAGGGCAGGTAGACCTAAAAATGATTATGAATTCTTATTAAATTATGACCTTAGTCTCGTAATATTTAAACTTTTTTTCTCAACATGTAAGTGAACACAGATGTGTGGGATAAATTTTGAATGTGCAGAAAGTTTTGAAAATGAGCAGAAAACCTGCTGAAACACAGGAGCAATTAAGGTCCAAGAGTTTATAACTGAATTAAAATGAATTAATTTATCATTGAAGTGAAAAGGTACCATGTGCACATTTAAAGAGGTTACTTCCCCAAACAAAGACACAGAAGAGGGAAGACTAAATCATGTGTTCTGACTCAGCAGGGATGATATTACATGAGAAGAGTTGATCTACAGAACAAACATTTCTGAAAGTAACAAAGACTGCCTGAGAGCCTTACTGCATTATATTCTGTTAGATTTTTATATTTTGAATTGTCACCTGAATTTTGTGTTTCCTTTACATAAATTACATTTCCACCACTAATTGGTGCAGAAAATTAAGTGTTTAATGCTCAAATTTTCATATTATTCAGCACTAAAGATTTCTTAAAAATAGTGTTAAAGTCTCGTTTTGTCTCGTCTTGTCTCATCTCGTGAGCTTAGTGTCTCATCATCCACTAATATATTGCATGTAATTTATGAATCTGCAAAGTAACAGTGACCATATCAAATATAAAGTAATACAAATGGAAATACACAAGTACGAGTACCTAAAAACTTTTCTTTAATGACTGAATTTCGTCTGCCCTCAGCTGACCGCAGCACAGACAGAAACTCTTTTCAACAATGTATTTACATCGAGAGCACACTGTACAGTTGTCACACTGTCAGATATATTTAAAAACATAAATGCATGCAAATATGTCATTATATATAAAACAAAGTTTAGTTTTATCTATCTAACTTCTTATTTATCTAATCATAAAGCATAGTGAGCCTATTGTAAAACATCAAATCGGAGTTTGCATTAACCAACACTCTTATCTCAGAGACCTGGACAGAAGTAGAAGCGCCTTGTCAGAGTGCATCTGTCTTTGGTAGGCATCTGCCTTTTGCTTTGAACGGAAAAATCTTCAAAGCGCTGCATGACCTGTGAGATTAAAACAAACAGTGTATGAAATTAAGCCACATAAAGACTAATAAAAGTGTCACCATTTCTGCATGCTATGTGGTGTGGTTGTCTCCTAACTGATATTACTTTCCACTAGATAATTGTGATGAGTTTCAGTTGCTACTCTGTGTCCTATTATACATGCATATTTCATAACCGTTGCATTTGCAAACTTACTTTTCTGAAAAGTTCCTCAATGTCATCCTCATGTGCGCAGGTGTTCAAGACCTCAGCCACATACTGGATAAGTAAAGACCCATGTTCTGGATGTCTATATGAGACAGTCTCTGGACCATACAGAAAAATGAAATATATGTTGTTTTTATTTCATAAGGTAACTATTCTTAGCTGTTTGCTATGTAAACTAATGCACAATTTGTTATGAGCTATAAGATCTGATCATTTTTAAGGTAACATACCAGGGGTGGAGGAAAGAAGAGAAATGAAGTCTTTTTCTTTGTGTACACATCGTAAAGCATCATCCTCTAAGTTTTCGTCACCAGCAGACGGGTATGGACTTGGCTGTTTCACATCATCACAGACCAGAGCTGAGTTTGCAGCATCACTAACAAGTACTGATCCGCCCTCATCTGAAACACATGTGGAATATTTTTAATACAGTGCACAAGAGCCTCGCTCACTTAAACTCAACAAACATTAGCAGACATTAGCAGACTCCTACATTGATTTATATCGATGTTTGGTGTATCTGTGAGAATAGATGACAGTCACCTCCTCTGCAGGCCTGGATGATGATGATCTTGGGTTTGTTCAGCAGTGCTGGACATTTCTCTGAGCCCAAGTGTTTGTAAATGTTGTTGATGGGGAACTCATCATCACATTTCTCATCATGGTTGATACCGAGGACAGCTCCCAGTTTCCCGTGAGACATGATAACCACCATCACGCTGTCTGTCTCTTTGAGTTTCGGATGTTTAGAGAAATTAATCATAGAATCATTAATTGCCTGCAAGAACACAAAAAGTCAGATATAAGTTACTGTGTCACTAAAGCAACCAGACAAAAAATGTTGGTTTTAAATTTCCCTTTTATACAAATCACCTTTCCTGTGAGGTTTGTGTGTTTCACCACCTCGTATCCCAGAGATGTGAGCAGTTTCTCCATGTTCGCCTCGTCTTTCTCAGCTCCTCTTCTGCTGAATTTCTCATTAGTAAACTTTATATTAGTGATTAGCAGGGCCACACGATTCCTACTGGAACTTGCGCTCACAGGGTAAACCTAAAAAACAAATTTAAAGTAACTGGAAATGTAACTTTAATAACATTAAAGTTTAACACGACAGTAAAAACAACACCTTTATATAGAGGTGAGTTAAACCAAGATGCACATGAACCAACTAAATAATCTATTTTATCTATTTTTTTTTTTTTCCCATTTTTTCCACTACAAGCAAATAGCTTAGTGTAAATCTATCAATTAAGACCACCTGAGAAATCTGATGTGACTTTTATGAATGACTAACATTTCTATTATTCAGTTTCTCGTTCTTGAATGAGTCGGTAGTCGGGATAAGTGTGGTTGACCATTTCTTCTCCATCGGGGGCTCTGCAGTTCAAAATGACAAAACATTTCTGTTCAAACTGATGTACTTATACCTGTATTCATGACAATGTCAAAGTATAATATAAGTTTGAATCAAAATAGGATGAAAGTCTCTCTAGTTGAAATATGTCACCTCACCTGGAGGTTCAGGTGGACCACAGGACAGACCCAGTTCATTGTAAAGGGTTGGATCCCTGCTTTGAAGGTAAGTGATCATCTTCCTGCTGGCTTTATTTCCTTTCTTCTTCACTGTGTCAATGAAACACCGTGCCTTGTCTGCTCTGCTGCTATTCTCCTCAAGTATTGAGTCTTTCTCCCCATCGTTCAAGATTTTATCCTCTAAAATGTCATCCAGCAGCTGATTTATAAGTTCTTTGGACGCCTTATCCACAAACTTACTCCTCACCCTGGCAAGCTCCTTATCTGGAGTAGAACGAACCATATTAATCATAAATAATTAGGTAATTCAAAGCAAGGTACAAATAGTGAAGACATACTTTAACCACAAAATGCTAATTATGCATATATGGTTACTATGGTATTTGGTCATTTAAATCTTACCTGCCATTGCCTCACTGAGCCTTCCAATATGACAGGACAAGTGTGTACTGTATCACATGAGGCAATGATTTATCTCGCTTTACAGCGTATTTATGCAATCCCATCAGGAAACACAAATTCCATATAAGTCTTGCTAAACTAGTAAAACCAGTAACAGCATGTAGGATGTGGCCAAAACAGAGAGTCAAAACACACAATACAAACCTTAACTAAACTCCTGCAATGTTGGACCTGTGTGACGGCACCCGTCATCTTTAAAGGCTACATAGCAGACAGCCTCTGAGACATCACAACCACAAACACATTGTCCGTGTGTTTGCGTTTCAGAGTTTGGAGAACATAATTAGAGCATCATCCATCTCCTGTGAGAACAGAAAAAGTAAGAAATCAGTTAATGTATCGCTCAAATAATTAGACAAATCAACTTTTAACAAGAAACAAAAGAGTCTTATTTCCCCTTTTTCAGAAGCACCTTTCCAGTGAGCTCCCTGTGTTTGACCACCTTGTATCCCAGAGCTGTGAGCCATTTCTCCATGTGTTTAATTTCTCGTCAGTATAATTTCTAATAGCAATAAGCAGAACTACACAATTCCCAATGGACTGTTCTGCCACACGACAATGTAAATATGGAAAACAAACTCTAAGAGCATAAAATTTTATTTTTTAAATGTATACTTTAAATAGATAAGTTACTGTATTAGCATCTTAATAACATCTTATTTCATGATGCTTTTTCACTGAGGTAAAAAATCAATATAGTTACATTTGAGGTGATGTTGTTTTTGTCAAGTTCTCAGGAAACAGTACTTCCTTTTAAGTGGTGGTACACAAGAAAAACTTCTGTTTTTTCTGCTTTGGGCGTCATGATTATCATTTATGAGTTACATACCTTTCTGTCATATGTGCGTGCTTTGTAGTCTGTTGGAAAGCATTGCTTATTTTCCTAAGAAGACAAAGCTGCAACTGGTTTAGATCACTGATAATGAAAATGAAAGATTTACAGTAATCATCCTTTCCCAAAACAAATTCCAAAGTTCAGCTAATGTTTAAAGGAGGCCTCCGCAGGCTGAATTAGACAAACCAACGGGGCATCTTCCAAAGTTTGTCTTTTTGGTATATAATTCTATCTGTTTCCATGCTGAGCCTTGTCAGAGGACTAGTAACTCAAAGCAGTTACACTGCAGCATCAGGGACATTTATATAAATAATGCTCTCTAAAATGCATTGTGTGCTTCTGCTTATCTTGTAACTTGCATTATGCTCATCCTGTGGGCAAAGTCTGACTGATATTTCTAACATGGTTTCATCTGCTGTCTTTTGCAATACTCTATGACATGCTTATTCTGATTATGTAAACCTCTCTTACGACTGTTGATGGGAGTATTTCCTGTAACAAAAATGTTTTATTTTGAGAGTTTCTCCCGTAGTAAAAGGCTGAACTATCAACTGTTGAGCTCATGTTATTTTATCTTCACAAACATTGGTTGCATTTATTTGGTCTAGTTTAAATACAGGTTTGACTTGTACTGTTCTTTGTGTTGGTAATTACCTTAGTTACAATACTTTTGGCTGCATGTGCATGTGGCTACCAGCCAAGGAACTGACTCAAGATTATTTGTGTAGCCCACTGTCACACATTATCTCAGAGAGCATAACAGGCCCACAACAGTAGACATCCCAACCTGGCCCAAGTTCAGAAAAAATACTTTAAAAATAATTTATTTAAACATTAACTGTTGTGAGTCCTACTAACATGTCATATTAGCACGGATAAGCACAACCATTCATAAAGCAAAACAATTTCTAAACATCTGCAGTGTCCTTGCAAAATAAATACACAATATTGGAAAATTGTGTAGTGAAGTTTTAATGTGTGTCTCAAAGCATGGACAAAATTAATACAGACAAGATCAAAAATAAATTCAATGTCAATATGTCACATTAAAAATATGATTAAAATATATGGATCTTCCTCAGCTAACATATAAGCTTTTATGCTGCTCATCTCAGCCCTGGAACGGCTCTCCCTGCATTATAGTCCCTGTTTAATTAATTCCTATCATCACTTCTTTTAAAAGAAATTAGGAAAATCAATGTATTCGTAGTCGAATGTCAATGTAATTTAAATAATTGCAATTAACCAAAATATATAATTCCTATAGATGTTTGGCTAATTTTCACTTAATTTTAATGTTGTCTGGTGCCTTTTAACATTCGAGAAGTTTAATTAAATAATAAATGTTGCTAATTTTACAACTTAACTTGGTTGTAGAGCCTGTAGAGAATCCAAATAATTCCATAAATTTGCAGGCAGGTGTGTTTTAAAGTTTGTTGGAAGAACTAGGAACCTGGTGCAGACAATCATTCATTAATTTGTTTTGTTTTGTTTTTCTCAAAGGACAACAGTTGATTAGTTGCATGATGGCCATGAGTAAGCAACCTGTTGAATACAAGTTAAAAAAAATCTCTATGTGCTATTAATTCAAAACCTTACACGCTGTTAGATGTATATAAAAATATAAATGCAAAGTTTTGATCTATCATGGATGGATTCTGAAACAACCGGCCCCTGGACACAGACATGTAAGAGGCCCCCACCCCTACTCCAAAACACAGAGACGCAAAATGACTAGATATGACATGGTCATGTTTTAGGTCTCTTGGCACCCAGGTCATTCAGTCATCCATCCATAACTTTTATCAATTCACCATGTAGCACCAGAGAAAAGCATTGCAAGCATAATTTGGAATGCGGTTACAAGTCTCTGCTAAACAACAGCAAATGTTGTCTCAAAGACCTGGAAAGAAGTAGAAGCGCCTTGTCAGAGTGCATCTGTCTTTGGTAGGCATCTGCCTTTTGCTTTGAATGGAAAAATCTTCAAAGCGCTGCATGACCTGTGAGATTAAAACAAACAGTGTATAAAATTAAGCCACATAAAGACTAATAAAACAAAAGTGTCACCATTTCTGCATGCTATGTGGTGTGGTTGTCTCATAACTGATATTACTTTCCACTAGATAATTGTGATGAGTTTCAGTTGCTACTCTGTGTCCTAATATACATGCATATTTCATAACCAGTTTGGATTTGCAAACTTACTTTTCTGAACAGTTCGTCAATGTCATCCTCATGTGCGAAGGTGTTCAAGACCATAACTACATACTGGATAAGTAGAGACCCATGTTCTGGATGTCTATATGAGACAGTCTCTGGAGGAAAATTATTAAATTAAATTATTTCATAAGGTAACTGTTCTTAACTTTTTGCAATGTAAATGAATGTACTATTTGTTATGAGCTGTAAGATCTCATAATTTTTAAGGTAACATACCAGGGGTGGAGGAAAGAAGAGAAATGAAGTCTTTTTCTTTGTGTACACATCGTAAAGCATCATCCTCTAAGTTTTCGTCACCAGCAGACGGGGATGGACTTGGCTGTTTCACATCATCACAGACCAGAGCTGAGTTTGCAGCATCACTAACAAGTACTGATCCGCCCTCATCTGAAACACATGGAATATTTTTTGGAATATATCTCACTTAAACTCAACAAACATTAGCAGACATTAGCAGACTCCTACATTGATTTATATCGATGTTTGGTGTATCTGTGAGAATAGATGACAGTCACCTCCTCTGCAGGCCTGGATGATGATGATCTTGGGTTTGTTCAGCAGTGCTGGACATTTCTCTGAGCCCAAGTGTTTGTAAATGTTGTTGATGGGGAACTCATCATCACATTTCTCATCATGGTTGATACCGAGGACAGCTCCCAGTTTCCCGTGAGACATGATAACCACCATCACGCTGTCTGTCTCTTTGAGTTTCGGATGTTTAGAGAAATTAATCATAGAATCATTAATTGCCTGCAAGAACACAAAAAGTCAGATATAAGTTACTGTGTCACTAAAGCAACCAGACAAAAATGTTGGTTTTAAATTTCCCTTTTATACAAATCACCTTTCCTGTGAGGTTTGTGTGTTTCACCACCTCGTATCCCAGAGATGTGAGCAGTTTCTCCATGTTCGCCTCGTCTTTCTCAGCTCCTCTTCTGTTTAATTTCTCATTAGTAAACTTTATATTAGTGATTAGCAGGGCCACACGATTCCTAATGGAACTTTTTGCTGCAGGGTAAATCTGAAAAACAAATTAAAAGGAAGAAAGTTAAACAAATATTTGCCACATGTCTCAAAATGGTCTTTTAGAAGACAATATGTACATTGTAGACTTTAATGAGAAATCTTTTTTTATTCCCATTTGCTAAACAACACCGTTCTGTCAAGGAGAGGTAAATTAAGGTGCACAGGAACCAATATAATAATGACTTTTATAAATGACTTACATTTCTGTCATTCTGCTTTTTGCACCAAAATGCCTCAGTGGTTGGGATGAGTGCGTTTGACCAATTCTGCTCCTTCGGGGCCTCTGCAGTTCAAAAGGGCGAAAACATTTCTGTTCAAAATTATGTACTTCTTTTTTCGTATAAACCTGTATTCATGACAGCATCAAAGTATAATATCAGTTTGAATCAAAATGGGATGAAAATCTCGTTAGCTTAAATATGTCAACTCACCTAGAGGAGCAGGAGGAGGAGGACCAGAGGACAGACCCAGTTCATTGTAAAGGGTCGGATCCCTGCTTTGAAGGTGAGCGATCAGCTTCCTGCTGGCTTCATTTCCTTTCTTCTTCACTGTGTCGATGAGACAGCGTGCCTTGTCTGCTCTGGAAGTCTTCTCCGCAATCATTGAGTCTTTCTCCCCATTGTTCACAATACCATCCTCTAAAATGTCATCCAGCAACTGATTTATAAGTTCTTTGGACGCCTTATCCACAAACTTCTTCCTCACCCTGTGAAGCTCCTCTGATAGAAGACGGAATATGAAGCAAAAAAAATTACATGATTCCAAATTTTGCCTCTTATGGTGATTTCAACAGAGGTACTAACATTTAATAAGACATTAGGATTATTTACAAAACATAGCTGTCCTGTGAAAATCATGCATCTTCAAATATCCACTTTTTACAAGCAAAGGAAAAAACAGTCCTGTTTAATGACATTGTGTTTTTCATACAATCCAGTGGGTTTCTAAATAGTTTACCTAGGTCAAGTTAAAAACTTAATCATTTAGTTTATCTGTTATAATCAAAACCATGTCCATGGTTTTCACTCATCTGGACAGCAATGATAAGATGTCCACAAGTTGAAATCAGAAAATCATGTGGAATCAATTTGTGACTTGAAAATATTTCAGTTACACTTCATAGAGGTATTAATCATTTTGGAGGCTTCAGTTTGTGGTGCTGCTGAAATGTACTGCATTATGCTCAGAGGTGTTTCTGTTATTCAGCCTACCCTCTGTGATACAAATGGTGGACAAAATAATAGAAACACCTGTTAATTATATGGACTAGGCTACATTATGCATTACAACACTACAAAATGCAGCCTCCAGAATGATTAAAAAGTTGAATTAACCTTCCTAAAACAGTTTCAAACTGAACATTATATTCTTCATGAAGGGATGATTTATTTCGGGACCGTTATGTTAGACTGTATTAGTTTAGCTAGGTGTACCTAATAAACTGGCAAGTGTGCAATAAGGTTAACACATGTTTTAAGTAATGCATACAAATGAATGTGAATGAAGTGAGTGTCACAGTGACTTGGTCATCTCTTAATAGTGAGCAACATGGCAATTATGATACATCCTGCATTCATGTATGCATATTACCTCCCTTCAAGAAGAGATGGGCTTTCTCCTGGTTAAATAAAATGAAACTAAAATCATCATTGTGCAGTAAGCATTTGTTTAAGCTCTTTTCCAATGTTTCAGAAGAGTTAAGCTTAGCTGCAACAGTAAAATGTGAGTTTACTGTATATTGTGGGGCCAGAGGGTTGATTGCGCTATCTGCCCTTCCTCCTCACAGTACAGAGAAGAAACCCTACACAGCTACGCCCATGGTTTCAAACTGACAACGAAAATAAGTGTTTCACAGTATGGAATATTAGACCACCAGTGATATATGTATTTAACTTTATGTAGGATATGCTTTTCAGTCTGAAGAAATCAGAGACTTCCGTGAAATCCTTTATGAGCTGACCTGCGCACTCTGGACATTTCAGCTCCATAAACCGTCGTTTATAGTTTGCCACCCTTTTCACTTTAAATGGCGGACACTGAGACGCATATGAATATAACGTAAAGCATGTGACAGTTTCTGCAACCATTGTGTAACTAAATGTTACCAAACAACAGCGCAAAACAGTACGGGCATGAGCGCCAGCAAAGTGAAACTGATACGTTGCGCACAACAAAATTCCTATCAAGACTTTGTAAAACAAACGAAGAGTAAGAAATCATAAGTAAAACCCCATCCTCCTCCTCACCGTCTTCATAACACAATCCACTTACAGTAAATAGGCTACAGCTTGCGTTGTTTTACTTGTGCTGGCTGATCGCCTGCATACACCACATACACATTGTTTTTGTAAAGTGCATTTACACCGTGAACTCTTACCTGCCATTTCTCAAATCTTGTAAGTTACACAAAGCTTCCCAACTTCCAAAAGCCTATGGGTAGGGACGGCTGCGTAATACGTACTGGTGGAGATGGTAAGGATGTTTCCTGCTTTGCGCCAAGTAACCCAGAGCCCTGTAGGGCTCCGAAGTAACCTATAGGCCTAGGCTTCTATAAATGATCAGTTGGCTACTTGGAGCACTAAGATTTGTATCGCAGCAGGCTGAAGAGTGGCCTTAAAGAAGTGAACCATCCATCGTCAACCGCTTATTCTGCGTACCGGGTCGCGGGGGGCAGGAGCCAATCCCAGCTGACATCGGGCGAAAGGCGGGGTACACCCTGGACAGGTCGCCAGTCCATCGCAGGGTTAAAGAAGTGAACCATTGCTCCAAAAGGTGCAGCAGACTTTGTGTGCGCCGATCATAAACCATATTTCAAATGGTTATAGAGACTAGATGAACCCCACATTGTTCCCTTAATTAATTATTCAACCAATGGCTTTTGGAAAGTTACCGTAGACCACGAGAGGCACTCTTGTCTCTGGATATTACAACTTTTACGCAGCACAATTCAGTATTAACAAAACAGTATCTAAAATAGAAATGTCATAGTGATACTAAAAAATTAATAAGCACGCATATTTGTTTATTTCCAATAAAGTTTTAATGAAACCGATTACAGATTTATTTTTATTGCAAATGGACTGTAATTCAAGTAATTATGCCCATCAGCGACCTCAGGCACTTCCTCTCTACCAGAGAGCTGAAGAGGGGACAGGCCACACAAACACACACGAGGACAACAGCATTCACACAGAGAGTAGAAATAAACAAATACACAGAGGGAGAGAATAACACGCAAACTACGGAGAATGGGAGGTGCTGAATGTTCATGGGGGATGAACATCCAAATCAACAACTGGATTTAACTCCTTGGTGCAGAGTCCAGTATGCAAAGAAATTCAGAGCCGTGTCAACCGACCAGCGACATGGATGCAGCATGCCCCAACGTGCGGGAAGCGAGCAGCTAGTTACTGCTTGCAGCTTTAATGCCAAATGAATTAAAAATTGAGTAGGGTTCCATAGAAGTCTGTAATAAATTCTAAGTCACTTAATTTCATCATTAAATGTATTTCTGCACCAGCAAAAGTATCAGTAGCCTACTTTCTCCTTTGGAAAAATGTAAAGACAGTGAAATAATATTTGTCATACCGAAAAAATATTTTACATTTCATAACATGACCTCCTCCCTGAAAGATACAAGATGCAAATAGCATTTAAAACCTCAAATGGTTTCCCTGTCAGTATTACAATAAACAGATACAAATTGTCCCAGTACAGGATGTAGTTATAGCCTTAGAAGCTTTATTAGAAGGTTTATTTTGTGAAACAATAATGACTTAAAATGTGCCAAATATCCCATAATAGCTGATGGTCTGATGGGAGATAGGTCAATTAAAACAACACAGTTAAAAAATATATCACTTTGTTATAAGTAACAGTAGGCAGTCATAGGAGTCAGGAGCTAAAAACGTTTTAAAAAACCACATCACACTTACTAAAAACATTAGTCTATAAAGTTCATTAGCATAGATTTGAATTTAAGACCACATTATTTTATGTTTATGAATGGAGAGCCAATTTAAATTATTTTGCAGTAAAACATGTTTTACATTATACAGAGTGATGCCAAATCAGTAATCTAATACGGCTTTTTAAAAATTTATTTTAATGAATGATGAGCATCTTCGTTCTTATTTTTCTCCATCCGCAACTCATCAGCAGGAGGGAGTGTGAATCACCAAGTCTGCTCCTCTTGAGACACTGTGGATAAAAACAATAAAACACAACATCGCTGTTATCAGACTATGGTTCAAAATTATGTATTTCTCTCTGCTGGTGATATTCTATATTTTCTTTACTGTCAACAATTCCCTTGGACAAAAAAAGACTGAAATCAATAATGAATTAATTCTACTAACAAGTATTCTGTGTAGTAAAATCATCCTCAGTGCCAAAGATCTCCATTGTTGTCCAATCTGTGTATTAGGCTTCTCTGCAGCTGAAAATACGGTCTTTCATACAAAATGCACCATTTCTACACAATAAAATTAGGTTAAAACAGTCTGCCTAAGTGCAATTTAACTTGTTAGCGTTAACGCCTCACCTGGTTAAAGAGGTTGACCAGAGGACAGACCCAAGGTGGAGTAAAGTGTAGGGTCTCTGCTTTGAAGGTGAGCGATCAGCTTCCCGCTGGCTACATTTCCTTTCTTTACCACTGTGTCAATGAGACACCGTGCCTTGTCTGCTCTGCTGCTATTCTCCTCAAGTATTGAGTCTTTCTCCCCATCGTTCAAGATCTTATCCTCTAAAATGTCATCCAGCAGCTGATTGATGAGTTCTTTGGACGAATTTTCCACAAACTTACTCCTCACCCTGGCAAGCTCCTTATCTATAAGAGTGCATATGAAGCAATAAACAATACATAACATTTAATAAGACGTTCATGCATTTCTGAAAAAAATCTACTTTTTACAAGATAAAGAGTTTGTTTCACACAATCCAGTGGGTTTCTAAATGGTTTACTTAGGTCAAGAAGTAGGACTTTTTTAAACATATAAAAAAGGTCTTTTATCTGTTTATCATCTTTTATGTACATCTGTAAAATTCAAAATCATGTCCATGGAAATCAGAAAATAATTTTTTAATCAATTTGTGACACACATTTGTAGCACTTTAGAGGGGTGTTGATCATTTTGGAGGCTGCTGTTTGAGGTGCTGCTGAAATGTATTGCGTTATGCTGAGAGGTGTTTCTGTTATTCAGCCTACCCCCTGGGAGTATTTATTGACTATTGTGTTAGACTGCATGAGTTTAGCTGGGTGTACCTAATAAACTGGCGAGTGTGCAATAAGGTTAACACACGTTTAAGTAATGCATACAAATGAATTTGAATGAGTGTGAGTTAACAATTATTAACTGATTTTCAAATGTTTCTGTAAGTTTTGAGAGTTAAGTTTAACTGCAACAGTAAAATGTGAGTTTATGAAGGAAGCCTACACAGCTACGCCCATGGTTTCAAGCTGAAAATGTAAATATGAGTTTCTAATAACTGTACATCACAGTATGAAATATTCGCCCACCAGTGATGTCTGTTCTTAACTGTATGTAGCTTATCTTTGATGTATAGGCTACTTCCGTAAAATCCTATATGGGCTGTCATACGCACTTTGGGCATTTCAGCTCCATAAACTCATGTTCATAGGTTTGCCACCTTTTTCTGTAGGCTACACATTAAATGGCGGACACTGAGACGCATATGAATATAATGTATAAATGTGACCGTTACTGTACGCATTTTGTAAAAGGTTACTAAACAGCAGAAAACAGGACGGGCATGAGCGGCAGCAAAGTGAAACTGATACGTGGCACACAATAAAACGCATTTCAAGACTTTTCTTTAACAGACTTTGTAAAACAAAGGAAGAGTAGCCTAAGTAATCATGTCAAAGCCCTTCCTCCTCACCGTCTAACACAGACCACCAGCTTTTGCCGATTTAAGTTCGCTGGCTGATCGCCAGCATATTGCCGTGTATTTACACCGTGAACTCTTACCTGCCATTTCTCAAACCTCATATCACAGAAGTCTACAAGTAACTGCCCAGCTTCCAGCAACCTATAGAGAGGGCTGCGTTAATTCGTACTGGTAACACATGAGAACGATGTTTCCTGGTTTGCGCCAAGTAACCAATGCTATAGGCTATAAATTAGGCTACTATGGAGCACGTCAGATTTGTATCACTGCAGGCTGAGAAAGTGTTTCTTAAAAAGTGAACCATTGCTACACATGGTGCAGAGTAGCTACTGGGCTATAGCCTACACACTAAGAAAATGGTGCTAAATAGCACTAATAGTGGTTCATTGGCTTTTAATCATAGGGAGCCAGTTTCGGTGCTATGTAGCACCTATCTTTAAATCTTTATCTTTGTCAAATGGTACTATGTAGAACCATTAGGTGCCATATGGCACTACTTTGCTCCAACAAAAATGGTGCTAAACAGTACCCAACAATGGTTCTTTGGCTCGTAATCATAGGGGAACCTCTTTTGGCGCTATACAGCACCTATATTTAAAACAGCTTTATAGCACATTTGTCAAATGGGGCTATTTAGAACCATTAGATGCTATAAATAGTTTTTACATGGTTTAATTTTTTTTTAAAAACACCATATTTTTCTCATACTGCACATTGCTGCAGTTCCTTTTTTCACCCTATGTGTTGTACGCTCCGCTCTTGAGCTACAGAGTGATGCATCTTACTTGTACAAAATCTTTGTTGGGAGTTGCATATGCGCAGTTCCCAGGTAAGGACTACTAGCCAATCAGAAGCAGAGAAGGGCGGGTCGTAAGAAACAAGGTAGCGTGATCCAAATCAAAGTCGCTTCAGACTGAGACCATAACCTAGCAGATAGTATAAGTTACTCTCAAGTCCACAACATCATGTTCCACATCTTTCCATCAGGACTAAACGTTGAACTGTTGCCGGTGTTCTGACGATCTATGCTGCCTTACTGAAAAATGCTACCATAGCGCAAATCGATAGACTCGACTCTACTCGGCCCTGCTCCGTTTTCCATTGCAGATAGTACCCACAGATAGTACGTAGCTTGTCATCATACAGACGCCACACACAACTGCCGCGACGTAATGTTCAATGCGACACACACACCAGCGATCCACACAGCTTTCTCTTTTTTAAATTAAAACGTTTCAATATTACTCAGAATGTAAACGCAGATAAGCGGTATGAAAACCTTCCAGCTGTGTTTTGCTCTGCCGTTGTTGCTGCAGCGGTCTGTGTGACGGCGGGAGTGAATATATCTAGTCTTTTAACATTAAATTTGTAAATTCGTGAAATTACTGGAACTGACTAATACAGCTGAAGTCCTGCAGTAGTTCATTGTCAACAGCACAATAACATGTTATGTTTGTAAGTCCTTCAGGATTTCAAAAATAGTAACTGGAAGAGGCCCAGTTCAGTGGAAAAGTCATCATTCTCTTCAACTGGCCATCCAGAAAGAGAGAATATTGAGTCTTACAGTCCACTCACAGATTAAGTTGTACACTCTTTACTGTGACAGGAAGTCCGACTGCATCCTTAATTTCAATACAACACACTCCAAAAAGGTCAATGTCTTCTTCAGTCCTTTAGGATGCTGGATTCCAAACAAAATATAAGCACAGGAGGAGGCCCAGTGCCATTGAGATGTCCTCGCTCTCTTCTGTGATAAACTGGCTATCCAATGTGAGCCAAATGTGGTCACACTGCACAGCCTGAAGCCTTAACACACCATCTTAGGTATTGAGATGCCATGAGTGCTGGTCTAAGCATGGCCCTGGGGAAGAGGACAATAGCATTAACATCTTATCTCACATTTATTAGTCATGATGTGTTCTTCACCAAATTTAATACCATTTCTTTTTTTTAATTAACAAGAGTTTTAGTATGTTATTACACAGTGGATATTTTACAAGCATTGACCAGGTAAAGCAACACTGAACACACCTGGTTTAGTATAAAAATAATATCCATCCATCCATTAACTATACCCGCTTATGTTGTACAAGGCAGTGTAAAATGCCGTAGGCTTAAGCTCTGCAATGTTCACTGTTATGAATTGGCACTACATAAATAAAATGTATTTAATTTATTACAATGGTAATTTCAATGTGTGCAATTATTCTTATGTACTGTATGTGACATTAAAGGCCACACTGGAAATTAGTAGGCTACTGAATTTTTGAGTGTAGTGCTTAATGGTAAGGCAGAGGCTTGCTTTTAAAAAAAAATGTCATGTAAATTATTAAAAACTTTACTTACAGAATGATTCATTTAGGCCTACAAAACATAAAGATAACCAATGCTTTTCTGAGGTCAAAGAGTCTCCTGTGGGGGCCCTGGAATATTTCCTTAGACATGTTGGGGGAGTTTGAAGGAAAAAAGGTTGAGTACCACTGCTTTAATATGTTATCATCAGGAAATATACATTCTTTAAGTGTTGTTGTTTCTTCAAAAGACTAAAAAGAGAGTTTATAAAACCTCTTAAGAACCATACTGGGCTGAGCTGGTTCTTTACATGGTAGCGGTGCTATATAGCACCTCAACCACCCCAAAGAACCGCTGACGAACCAAAAATTTTTTGTGTATATCTTTGTATAGGCCGGTCTTTAAATATATTTAAAATAGACTAAAATGAACCCAACATTGTTTTCTACATTAACTGTTAAACCGGGGGACTGTGGAAAATCCATGATGACCATAAAAGGCACTCTTGGGTCTGCAAGTGACAACTTTTATGCAGCACAATTCACTGAATAACAGAATCTACAATGTTTCATAGTGATACCAAAACAAAAATTATAATCTAATAAACACACATTTGTTTTTTCCCTATAATGCTTTAATGAAACCAGATTACCGATTTATTTAATTGCAAATGGAGACAGCAAATGTTATAAAACAAAAGATCATTTGCAAAACACTTCCAGTTGAATTCAAAATTGAGTGGGCTAGAGCGTTCTGGAAGTAGTTGTAGCCTTATGGCAAGTCACTTCATTTGATCATTATAAATATCTCTTAAGTTCTTTGGATACCTTATCCACAAACATACCTCTCACCCACGCAAGATCCTTATAGAGCAAATATAAACTGTGGAAACTACACCTCTCAAATGTAGGTTACTCAAGAGATAGTATAGATACAAGGCTGTTTATTTGTCATTATAGGCTACAACACAAGGTTAGGCTATATAACTAAACAAAAGTGCGTAGTCCCTTCATGCTACACACACAGAACTTAAATTAAATGTGTATGAAAATATTGTTATTTATAGCCTTTATTTATAGCACAGTCCCCTCCAAAAGTATTGGAAGGGTAAGGCAAATTCCTTTGTTTTTGTTGTTCACTGAAGACATTCAAAAGATGAGTATGAGACAAGAGTTCAGAATTTCAGCTTTCATTCCCTGGTATTCATATCTAGATGTGTTAAACAACTCAGGACATATCACCCTTTGTTTGAACCCATTTTTCAAGTGAGCAAAACTATTGGAACATGTGACTGACAGATGTTTCTTGTTGCCTTTTAGGTTGATTGTCCAAACATTAAATTACTCTGCATGTCTAAGTTTTCATCCTTGGTTCAAATATATAAAGACTGCATTTCCTGTTAAAGAGGATAAACCAACATGAAGACCAGAGAGCTGTCTATGGGAGAAAGGCATGCCATTTTCAAGCTGAGAAAAGAAGGAAAACCGACCAGAGCCATTGGACAAACATTGGGCATAGCAAGCACAACAATTTGGAATATCCTGAAAAATAAAGAAACTACTGGTGTACTGAGCAACAGACGTCGACCAGGTCGGCCAAGGAAAACAACAGTAGTTGATGAGAGCTGTAAAGAAAACCCCCAAAACATCAGTAAGTGACATCACCAACGACCTCCACAGTGCAGTCCACAGTGAAGCTATCACAATCCACTGTTCGAAGAAAAAGAAATATATAGAGGCCACACCACAAGATGCAAACCACTCATCAGCAGGAAGAATCAGAAGTCCAGATTGAAATTTGCAAAGAAGTACAGAGATGAGCCGCAAAAGTTCTGCAACACAATCTTATGGACTGAGACCAAGATTAATCTCTACCAAAGTGATGGAAAGGCCAAAGTTTGGAGAAAGAAAGGAACTGCTTATGATCCGAAGCATACAAGCTCATCTGTGAAGCATGGTGGAGGTAATGTCATGGCTTGGGCCTGCATGGCTGCTTCTGCAACAGGCTCATTTATATTTATTGATGATGTAACTGATCATGGTAGCAGCAGAATGAATTCAGAAGTGTACAGAAACATTTTATCTGCCAATTTATGGAGAAATGCATTGAAACTAATTGGGAGGAAGTTTATCATGCAGCAGGACAATGACCCAAAGCACACTGTCAACAAAACAAAGGACTTCATCAGGGTAAAAAAGTGGAAGGGTTTACACTGGCCAAGTCAATCAGCTGACCTTAACCCAATAGAGCATGCATTTCAACTCCTTAAGAGGAGACTGAAGGGAGAAACACCCCGAAACAAACAACTGAAAGAAGCTGCGGTAAAAGCCTGGAATAGCATCACAAATGAAGAATGGAACAGTTTGGTGATGTCGATGGGTCGCAGTTGAGGCAGTCATTGCAAGCAAGGGTTATGGCACCAAATATTAAATGTTATTTACTTTAAGATTATTTGTTCCAAATGATGATATGTCCTAAGTTGTTTAACACATCTAGATGTGAATACCAGGAAATGAGCTCTTTTGATCTTAAACCCACATGTCTTCAGTGAACAAAACAAAAAAAAAAAAAGGAATTTGCCTTACCGTTCCAATACTTCTGGAGGGGACGGTATAGGCCTAGACTTAAACATGAGCATATATTCACAGTGTATTTTTTTTATTTGCGTCTGGGGAGAATGTAAAGCAGCAATATGCTTCATCTTTACATTAATACATTTAACATTTGGGAAACAGTGTCCCTCTTGACTGTGTTTGAGCACCCAGCATTATGATCTTTTACATCATCGATGTAAAAGACAGAGTCTCTGTAAAGATTTGGGCATGACAGATTTTCTGATTTCCCGTTGCTTTGCCAACACGAGTCTCATTTTGTCCAGACCAGACCTTTAGGAGCAGTCCATGCTGGGTCAACATGGCTCCTATGCCGGCTTTCTTTCCTCTCTTCTGAGATCACAGCACCTGCCGTGGTGTCTGGTCCGGGTTGATCTGGCTATTGAATCGTGGTCCGCTGCTGTTTAATCCAAAAAGATGAACATGCTTCTCCTAACTAACTAACTTCTCTTGACAAATTATCAACAAACTCACTCTGGTAATCTCCTTATACTGTATACAGGAATCATCATGAAGCCAGATAAATAAATAAAAGAGAGGCCTACACATTTTAGACTTCTTGACGGGTGTTTAAAGGTTCAATACAAAGTCATATTTAGCCTACATGAGGTGTCTGAAGATGTTAGCCTACATAGAACATAAAATTAACATGGTCAGATGGTTTGTTACACTGTGTCACAGTTGTTGAATTTTTGTTCTTCCTGTCCCATCCCAGTCCAGGATTCAGGAAAAAAATGTCAGCCTACAGGCTAATCAACAGTGTCAAGGAAACAGACTATTCAGTTTACAATGACCATCCTCCAAACAGACAAATATCAGCAAACAAAGGGTGTTCACACAATACATGAACCTCAAATGACATTGCAACAGTGGTCTTAATAATGTAGGTAAATTGTCTGCTTTGTATTTTTTCGGTATAGGATTCACTTTGACTCACTTGTTGAATTTTTGAATTCATCACATGTCCCATTTATGAAGCAAAGAAAAGTGATTTACTCTTTAACTGATTTTTTTCATGCAACCAAAAGAAGTTTTTGTTTTAGATTAGGTGGCAAACTATCAACACAGATTCGAGATTAAATGTCCTAACTGATATATTTATTAATTATAAAAACAATAGGCTATTAGACACACTTCCTTTGTAGAAACCTACACTCACTGCATTGGAGGAAAGTAACAAAACATCCTACTTATGTATACTTGTAGGCCTACTTGAGTATTTCCATTTTATACTACTTTAGTTTTTACTAGGTTACATGTCATAGTTTCCATTTAGGTCAAGATTCTACATACAAAACAAATGATCATCTAAAAAATATGTTTGCATTGTTGTAGATTAAACTACCCAACGGTAGGCTATATAAAAAGTAATATTATGCATCAGTGATTGTATGCAGGACTTCTACTTTATTTATTTTCACAATATCACTGCTTTGTAAAGGATACAAATATCTGCATTTATTTAACAGCTGATAGTTACACTGCACATTAAGAATTTAAGATACATTGTTATGGACTAGATAAAAATAAAAATGGTGCAGATACAGCAAATATTAAAGCAGATGTGTTACATTGTTTACATTTTTATTACCAGTTTAAGTAAAACATCTGATATTATTATTATTATAAGCTTTTTCTTCTTCCATAAACAGTGAGAACCAAATATAAGAGAAAGTCAGAAATGGAAAGTAACTAAGTACATTTACCGAAGTACAATATTTTGGTACTTGTAGCCTACATTACTTGAGTATTTCCTTTTAATGCCTTTTTCCTTTTGACAGCTTTAGTTAATGGTTACTTTTCAGATTTTGCATGAAAAAAATACAATGCCATGTCTAGTTGGGACCCTATATGCCTTCATGTCTTTTTTTTTTAAAGTGTTATTCTGCTACACACATATCTTAAAACTTTGATGACCACAACATGATAAACTTGATATATTCAAAAACATACTATAATGTGTTATAGTTTTCTTTACAATGCATTACAGTCTCAATAGGTTATGTTTACCAAAATGTGGGATCTAAGACCAAAACAGTGATTTCAGTTCTTGACAATATGATGAATAATATGGCTATTGCAGTGTGGTAACGCTGGGCGGCGATAACCACTTTGTTAACCTATTTTTCCACCTTCAGACAGAAATCAGAGAAGAAGAAACAACTCAGACAAAATGGCGGTGGGACAAAGCTAAGTGCTGTGCTAATGTAAACATTCACTAACTGTAGACTGCAGCTGGAGCGACGACAAGGTTACCCGATAGCTTTTTGACATCGCGAATGAGAGTGTATGTTGACACACAACTCGCGTAGCCAGCATTGAGCATGTTCATTAACGCAACGTCACTTTAGCTAGTTAAGTGTTTACCGTAGCTAGCTTTGTAATTAGCCTGGGTAAACATTGGTAGCTAGCTGTAGATTAGCTTGTTGATTTCGCGTTTTTGAGCATAAAACAAACTTTGCAGCGCGAACATACTTCTATAACGTTACGACAATAAAATACTATTCCACAACGAGGAAGTTATTGTTACTACGGGACACCGCTGTTTTGAGGGGAAATTATGTGTTAAAATAACTTAATTGCTCTGTCAGTTCAGTACAATGAGAGTCAGCTGCTGGCTATTAGCTAAAGTTAATGCTAACAAATACACAGGTCGAAGCCAGATACATTCACTTACACCAGATCTATTGCCCCCCCCCCCCCCAAAAAAAAAATCTAATTTTGGACTGTGCTAACTTACAAGAAAGAACTGTAGCGTTATGCCAAATTAGCTGGACGTGTGATGATATGGACTTGAGCTCGGCTACGAATCAAAGCCGTAGAAAGGTTTTAGCAATCTTGAATGGATTACTGAGAATGGGGACTGTCTTTTATTTGCACACGAAAATGCACCGTTTTGGTTGCAGGTCGTACTCACTGCTTTCGTTGTTTAAGTTTTCTGTCTTGTGGTCTCTCCAGCAGTCTCTTTGGTGAAGGATGATGAGCCAGCGGCGTGGGATTCATCTGGACCAATCAGAGCTGCTTTGCAAGAAAGGATGTGGTTTTTATGGCAACACTGGTTGGCAGGGCCTGTGCTCAAAGTGCTGGCGAGAGGAAAATCAGCGAGAAAAGCAAAAACAGATTCAAGAAGATTGGGCACTTGCTGAGAGGTTTGTCTGTTTCTCTGTGCCATGTGTACATGTATTCCTAAAAGTCAAATACTGTATCTTTTGTTCTATTACCTCTTTATATCTTTGTCTTGCTCCTGTGTCCGTCTGTCTTTCTGGCAACTACTACTTTCTTTTCCCTCCCAGGCTGCAGAGAGAGGAAGAGGAAGCTTATGCAAGCAGACATCAGAAGGCCCAGTCACAACCTATCACACCCTTCAGCAAGTTCGAGGAAAGAAAAACCAAGGAAAAGTACAGCAAAGTCAACACAGTCACAAAGTTTTTTACTCCTTCCTCAAAAACACCACCCAAAAAAGGTATATACTATTGCATATGTCCAACTATATAAGATGCTAGTTATTGTTTATCAGATCTTTAAAAAAGTTTTAAAGTATGTTGTTTTTTATTATTATTGTGTCTAAATACTATGCCCAGCCAAACAGGAACCAGAGTAGCAACATAAATCTCATGATGAATAATGTTAAAGAAATAAACCATATTGATGTTTTTTTCCAAGCTTTAGAAACAAAAACAGCCAACTTATAAGCATTAAAATTAAATCTGCCAACTTTAACAGCCAGAGGAAGGATTCCTGTTCTCGACTGTGTCACTAAAGACCTTTTGACTTTGTTAAGTTTAGAATTTTAAATTCCTGTCAAACATAAATTATGCTTGACTATATCTCTCTCTCAATTGTTGTCAACTCAAAGGATCATTACACTTAAAAATGTAGTTTTCCTTTCATTCCACAGCTTTTTAAGTTATAATTTCCAATACGGTTTCAGAGCTCCTTCTTTCCTGATGAGCCTTATTTTAATTAGATTTACTAGGTTGACATTTATCCATTTCTAAGATTAACATATCACAGAACTGATTATACCATCTATCAACTCAACTTTGTGTACAAGTTGTTACATAAAGTCCAACAATGCAGAGCAACACATATTGGAGGATAGAAAGAGTTCAATATCTTCTTTTTGTTTGAGTGACATGTTTCCCTCCGTTATTTCAACTCCAGCCTTAAATATAATCATTACTGTGCATAAGATCTGACACCAGACAGTCATGGGGTTTTATTAAATAGTTCACTATAGCTTTTCCTCTTACTGACATTGATGTAAAATTTTTTATTTGATTATGCCATTTAAAACAGCATTTAGAATCTGTAAGGAAGTCAAGAAATATTTCACCGTGGCTGCTCAGATCTAACTCTAGGTGGATCATGGTCCAAATCCGCAATACGACTCTTTAAGTTGCCATATACACTCACCTAGAGAATTATTAGGAATACCTGTTCAATTTCTCATTAATGCAATTATCTAGTCAACCAATTACATGGCAGTTGCTTCAATGCATTTAGGGGTGTGGTCCTGGTCAAGACAATCTCCTGAACTCCAAACTGAATGTCAGAATGGGAAAGAAAGGTGATTTAAGCAATTTTGAACGTGGCATGGTTGTTGGGGCCGGACGGGCCGGTCTGAGTATTTCACAATCTGCTCAGTTACTGGGATTTTCACACACAACCATTTCTAGGGTTTACAAAGAATGGTGTGAAAAGGGAAAAACATCCAGTATGCTGCAGTCCTGTGGGCGAAAATGCCTTGTTGATGCTAGAGGTCAGAGGAGAATGGGCCGACTGATTCAAGCTGATAGAAGAGCAACTTTGACTGAAATAAACACTCATTACAACCGATGCAGCCAAGCATTTGTGAAGCCACAACACGCACAACCTTGAGGCGGCCCCACCGGGTACCACTCATCTCCACTACAAATAGGAAAAAGAGGCTACAATTTGCAAGAGCTCACCAAAATTGGACAGTTGAAGATTGGAAAAATGTTGCCTGGTCTGATGAGTCATTAGTCATGAGACATTCAGATGGTAGAGTCAGAATTTGGCGTAAACAGAATGAGAACATGGATCCATCATGCCTTGTTACCACTGTGCAGGCTGGTGGTGGTGGTGGTGTAATGGTGTGGGGGATGTTTTCTTGGCACACTTTAGGCCCCTTAGTGCCAATTGGGCATCGTTTAAATGCCACGGCCTACCTGAGCATTGTTTCTGACCATGTCCATCCCTTTATGGCCACCATGTACCCATCCTCTGATGGCTACTTCCAGCAGGATAATGCACCATGTCACAAAGCTCGAATCATTTCAAATTGGTTTCTTGAACATGACAATGAGTTCACTGTACTAAAATGGCCCCCACAGTCACCAGATCTCAACCCAATAGAGTCTTTGGGATGTGGTGGAACGGGAGCTTCGTGCCCTGGATGTGCATCCCACAAATCTCCATCAACTGCAAGATGCTATCCTATCAATATGGGCCAACATTTCTAAAGAATGCTTTCAGCACCTTGATGAATCAATGCCACGTAGAATTAAGGCAGTTCTGAAGGCGAAAGGGGGTCAAACGCAGTATTAGTATGGTGTTCCTAATAATCCTTTAGGTGAGTGTATATAAATACTATCCGTGTCAAAAGAATTAAAAAATTAAACAAAAATTCCCATATAAGTTCTTTTGGTGACAAAACTATAATGCAAACCTCAATTTTCCACCACTCCACTCCACAGTAATATCGTCCACCGATTTGTCCACAACTTCAAAAAGTATTCAGAAACTTAATTTTTAACCAGAACTCCAACTCCTCACGAGCCATTTGGATCGCTTATAGAAAGTTATTTTGCTGTTCTTGAGTTGAGAGATAACTGGGTCGTTGTAGAGTGGTACTGATATTTTTATTCATTATTTGTTTTGCTTGATGTAAGCTTTTTTTGCTTTTTCTTCTGCATTATATGCGGAACTGGTTCTGGTGACCAGTTTTCCTGCAAAAATATTAAGCAAGAAGACTGAAGTTACTAAAACTGTTACTTTGGTTCAACCTCTTCCCTGGATTTGTAGCTTGATAACCCTCTCACAGTATGGTTAAAAGGGGCCAGCACATAGCGGCTCATGTGGTAAGGGATGTTAGGAGATAATGGAGTGTAGTGTTTGATTAAAGTAACATTAAATGTTTTCAAGCAGATGCTGCTCCTTTTGACACGCAGTCCAGCCCGAGCCCCAGCTCCTCTACAACCCGACATTCCTCTGTGGACAGTGACCAGGCAACACGAGAGTTCATTGACTTTCTCAAGCCTCTGAAGCCTGGCAGGGAGATCTTCAAACAGTGCCGGGCCTTCACTGAGAGCATGGTCTACAAGCGGGTGAGCTGAAGTGGATTACTCATCATGTTTTTGTGTGTTTGTGGAAATTAACTTTTAGGGAAACATTTCATTCTTGCCTATAAATAGTTGTGGAAGTCCTGACAATCGGTTAACAAATTACTATGGCTTAAATTCAGTTCTGCTTATCAAATTGTCAGCGCTCTGTGTCATTCATCCACTTTCTCCTCGCTCATCTTCCCCTTCATGGCTAAAGTGAAAGGAGTTTCTGTAGTAGAGCAGTGAATCCTTCACTATAAAAGGTGAATCAGCTCATCTGTGTGTTAGATGTTAATACTGTTAGCGTTAGCTGTGTCGTTCCCTCGTTTAGTGAAGCTAAGCCAAAATATTGAGTGTTTGTGGCAGTCTGCCATGGTCAAGGAATGTAAATCGAAGAACTCTCTTCTCGCATGCTTTGTTGATGTACTGCATAACAAATGATGTGACATTAGGTCCGCGTGGCAGGTCCTGGCAGATAAGTGACACTTTGATGGACTGTAAAATGCTCACTGCAGTTTAATCAGGAGCACGACTGAAAAATGCAATAACTTAGCAATAAGCAGAATCGAAATGCATGTGTTTTAGCGACGGTTCTTGTAAATTTGGTACCAACTTGGAACTGGTTCTCGATACCCAACCCTAACCACGTGTCAACTTGTTTATCTGTTGTACTGTGTCATTACCACCTGTCCTAATTTATTACAAAACACTTCTCTGTTTCCAGCATTGTAATCCCTGAATGAAACTGTCTCGGCTGAAATGCTTAAAAAAACATGGAGCATTTGTATTTTTCTTGACATTGTCAAATACCTTAAACAATTTTTTCTGCAGCAAGTGAAACCTTGAATGCTTCAAAGTGAGATGCTGACTGTCTCACATTGTTGCTGCAAATGAAAACAAGCTTCTGTTCATATATAATAGAGAAATAAAATATGCTCCTTCAGTTTTTTGAAATTTAGAATTTTTTTTTTTTTAGATGTTAACTATTTATCAATTAAAGCTTTCTAGTAATTGCCACATTTAAACAGGTAACATCAGAATTAAAATCTTGCACAATGAATCACTCTGTTTTGAAAACTATTCCTGTACCATTAGCAAATTTGTATGCTGAAATTCAATTAAATCTGATCTGAATTGTTCATTTCTGCTCCTTGTTTAGGACATGGGTGCAGATGAGCTGTCAGAGTGTGTGCAGGACTTCTACCAGAACCTCTCAGAACGCCTCCAGACCCAGTTCAGAGGTACTGCTTAACTCTTACACTCAAGAAGAATCAGCTATCATCGTTGAATATCGCTAACATTATACAGTGTACAATGTCTTGGCTCTGTATATCTCTGTTATTGTGCTTGTGTCCCTAGGTTCGTCAGACCATGTAGAGAGCATTATGGATGAAGTTGAGAAGTACATGATGACTCGTCTCTACAAGGAGGTTTTCTGTCCTGAGACCACAGACGATGAGAAGAAAGACCTGGCCATTCAGAAGAGAATTAGGTTAGAAACAAAGTTATAACAATGCTTTTAATTTTGCTGCATTCCCTCTGAGCACAAGCACAGTTGCAGGTAAAATAACTACATCTGAGAGTTACTTATTGTGTTCTGTTACAGATCCTTGCATTGGGTCACGATTGAGATGCTGTGTGTTCCTGTAGATGAGGAGATCCCTGTGGTGTCTGATAGTGTAGTCAAAGCCATCACCGGTAAGTGTCACTAGGTTTATTTTAGAGATTATTTTAGAAAGTTCCTTTAGAGATCCAGGGTACCCGCGGGGTCTTAAAAGTATTAAAAAAGTCTTAAATTTCATATTCCAAATATAAGGCCTTAAAAGTCTTAATTTTCATTACCAAAGTATTAAATTTTTTTTTTAATTAACATCATAAATGAATACTTTGTGAGACTTCATAATTTACTCCGTTTGGTGTGACTCTGATGTTGTATGGCAGTACAGGTAACATTACTGTTTACATCAGTGTTTAGCTTTACGCTTTGAACTGTGAAGTGTTCGCGGTGCAAGAGCTCTGGCATCCAGCTCTGCGCTAATCAGTCAGAAAGCCAGAGATACGAACAAGTTGGCGGACGAGGCTGAGTGCAGTGGCGCTGAGGTTAGCACGACAAGCTGATCAGTGTGCAAGCTAGTCACACTAATGGAACAGCAGAGCTGGAAGACCCGCAGAAGGTTACTGGTCACTGAATGATACAACAGCAACGGAGAGACAGATGTGTATGAGACGAGGACCGTGTCTGTGTGTCGGTGTTGCGCCGCTGTCGTAGGCTAACGTTATGTCAATGGAAACATCAAACGAACACACATTAAACTTATATCACCCAGATAAGCCGATCACGGGAACGAGGGAAAAACAAACCGGAGCCCAACTCCTTATCCCCGCTGCTTTCAAGCCATTACTATATTTCAAGCAGCCTTTAGATGCTTTAGAAAAACAGAACAGGATGAATAATCACTGAAGCAATTGGCATATTATACTCAGGGGTATTCAATTAGATTTCAAAGAGGTCCAGTTAGAGAATATTTCCAATATTCTGGTTTTGAACTGCCCGTGGGAGGAATGTACATGTAAAAATCTGTACATTCTAGATTAAAAGTCATGTGAAATCTCTTTTATCTTTCGTCTCCTCAATTCGGGTGTGTTTCCAAAACGTCTCTGGTGAATCTCGCGGACTCGACTCGCAAGCATCGGTATGCACAGGTTTGATTGGCTGAGCAGCGTCACATGAGACGATTGGAGCACATGCGATTGGTCTGTGAGTTTCCTGGTCCTCTAAACCAGTACAGTAAATGCTAGAAAAGCTGCGCGGGTTAAAATAGAAACGCTCCGTCACGAGGTAGTAAGTCTCAATAATAAATGGGCTGTAGGTCGGCGGTCCGGAGAGGCGGTCCGCCTATTAATGACCTCTGCATTACCTTATCGAGCCAAGGTGTAACTAATTGCAACAACTCATACCACACAATTTGTTTGTATTTTTGATTTCACCCCTTAAGAGTTCTTGGTGCACAAATATTGTATTAATTTCATAGGTGTCATTTACACTGGGGATACTGGGGACATGTCTCCATCACTTTTTATTTTAGTTTAAAGCATTTGTTAAATATGTTCTGAAAAATGGCTTGCAACAAGAAATGTTAAAAAAAACAAATGAAAATACTTTGAGGAAGGTTTATTTGCACAATAGGAAAACATGCAATGCAATTTTAAAGATAAAAGACACAAATGTGCATTGTTCAAAAAAGTTTAAGCTAGAAAAATCGGAATCACTTTTTTTTAAATAAAGACAATTCTACCATAAATTGGTGCAGAAAATGTCTCCAGAATGCAGGAAATTTTCTAGTGGACCCCCAGACCTCCATTTAAATATATTTCAGCAACGAGTATTTTATCAAATAGTGTTAAAATATCTTCTTGTCTTGTTCTTGTGAACCCAATATTGTGAATTGTGCATGTGAGCCAAGTGTATCGTCACACCCTTAATCTGAACCCTTATGTCCCCACCACTTTTCAACACAAAGTGACGTCATTGATTCATTTTATCTTATCAAAGTACAAAAACACCCCATGCTATAGTGTGTTAAATTTGAATGCATTATAATAAAATGTTTTATTAAATTCATGTAAATAATTTTCTCAGGCTTAAAATTAATACAGATTTTCCATTAAACGGCAGTGAAGTTGGTATTAAATTTCATCCTAGGTGGTATTAAAATGGTCTTTAAAAGTCTTAAATTTAACTTTTGGGGGTACCCTGAGATCCTTCAAGATTTTTAGATAAACAATGTATTATCTTGTGAAATCTCTGCATCACGTCAGATGTGATTGAAATGGATTCGAAGCGCGTGCCCAAGGACAAGCTGGGGTGCATCACTCGCTGCAGCAAGCACATCTTCAACGCTATCAAAGTCAGCAAGAAAGAGGCTGCGTCTGCGGATGACTTCCTCCCCACGCTCATCTACATTGTGCTAAAAGCAAACCCTCCGCGACTGCAATCTAACATCCAGTATATCACCCGCTTCAGCAACCCCAGCAGACTCATGACTGGAGAGGATGGTTACTACTTCACTAATCTGGTGAGCAAATGAGTACATGCTTGCTTGCATTTATGTGGTTTGAGTGTCAATATTTCCAGATTTTTTTTAAGGAAGTTGTGGTGCTGTTTTATTGTGTAGTGTTACACTTACTGGTGTTTCTATTATTTTGTCCATTCAACTTTATTTCAATGAAGGTCGGTGATATAACACTCCTCTGTAAAATTCAATGCAGTTCAACAGTGGCACAAACTGCAACCTCCAAAATGATCATTCACTTGAATAAAGGCCAATATATAAAATACTTTAAACAGAAACTTAACATTATAACCTTTACAATACTAGAATTTATTGAAGGACTGTTGTATTAGACCATGATGCGATGTACCCACAAGACATGTTAACATTTTGTGGAACATGCCTTACAGCTTTATTACTTTTTTATTTATTGAGCCTCTTGCTTCACTGAGAATATAAGTTACTATTAAAAAAGTAACCTACAGCCCTTTGTCAGAAATTACCTTCTGGAATTCACTGAATGTCAATAAAAAAGTTTTACAGTGTCTGAAACATTTAAGGATTAGGATTAGGGTCTGCTTTATTTTCATTGTTTTGTTAGTATAAATTGGTCATGAACACCAGAAGAAAATAATTAAGGCATACCCTCCCCCTCTCCTGTGATTTCCTATCTGACTCAGCTGTCCAATAAATGCCAAATAAGAAATGTTTTTAATCTAAGTGCATTGATGTTACAGAATGATGATCTCCATAGGTGAGGCTTTCTTCTAATGACTCTCTGCATCCCCTCTCCCCAGTGCTGTGCGGTGGCCTTCATTGAGAAGCTGGATGGCCAGTCTCTGAACCTAAGCTCTGAGGAGTTTGAGCTCTACATGTCGGGCCAGGCATCCCCTCACTGGCCACAGGCCACTGGGGCTTCCTCCTGCTCCTCAGGCAGCGCGGCTCTCAATCAGGTCCACAAACGGCTGGACCTTCTTACAGGGCTCGGGGAAAGGCAGGAGAGGGTCATGGAGAAGGCTCGCCAGCTGGAGAGCGACCTCATCGACTGGACGGACGAAGTGGAACAAAAGGTGCAGAGCGTTCTGGAGAGCTTTCCACCAGAAACACAAAACACTCCTGCAACAGCCAGTGGGCCAACCTCTGCGGCTTCATCAGCAATTGACGCTGATAACGTTGAGAATGAGCTCCTGCCCCCACCACTGCAACCGCAAGTGTTTGCTGGTTGATGTGAAGTGCTCTGCTCTAAATAAAATTTCCTTAGAGGCTTTATTCCACCCTCCCCCTTTTCCCTGCTGTCTGTATGCACATAAAAAAGACATCCAATATGGATCCCATTTCAGCTCCAGACATCTCTATTCCATCCATCCATTGTCCTAGAGAACCTGGAACTACACTATACAGATTTATTAAATTAAAGGAATAGTTTAGCATTTTAGGAAACACTTTTTTCGCTTTCTTGCAATGTTAGATGAGAAAATTAAAACCACTCTCGTGTCATGGTGAATATGAAGCTACAGCCGGTTAGCTTTTCTTTAGCATAAAGGTTCAAAACGGGGAAACCGCTATCCTGGCTCAGTCCACAAAAATCCACCCATCACACCTCTATAGCACAGAAATTAACACATTATATGTTGTCTGTTTAGTTCATACAAAACATATCTAGTTCGTTCAAAGGTGACTTGTTGCTTTGTGAGCTTTAAGGGTGCTAGTGGCTTCGAGTCTGTGCTAGGCTAAGCTAAGGTAACAGTCTCTGGGCTTCAGCTTCGTAATAACGGAGAGATGCGTGAGTGGTATCGATCTTGTCATCAAACTCAGCAAGAAAGTGAATAAGCATTTCCCAAAATGTCCCAGAGAGAGTCCCAGAGGCAAAGTATACTCCATGCCTTTTGTTATGGTTGATCAGTCAAGGCTCCAACGTAGCACCTGTGGTAACACATTCTGCAGTTTCAGGATAAGCAGATTTGTACTGACCCAGCCATTTACTTGGTTTTCCCAGGATATTTGGGAAATATTCTCCCATATAACCCCCCTCACCCCACACCCCAGCCCCTGCTTCTGACTGGTGCTTCCCCCGAGTGAGATGTGCAGGGAAACCTTCCACAGAGTGGCATCCAGGAAGAATCCTGACAAGATGCCCAGCCCACCTCAACTGACTCATTTTAATGCAAAGGAGCAAACTGTCTCCACTCCGAGCTCTTCCTGAACACATCTGCTGGTCACCCACAATGGCGTCTTCAGTACCTCAGTACTTCTTGGTCCTTGTTGTTACATTTGTGCAGGATAAATGTTTGGATGTGATTTTTAAAACATGATTTTTAAAAGATATTTCTGTCATTATTCACCACTTTTCAGACAAGGTTTTTGTTATTTTGTTGTGATGTCTCCAGGTGTAAATTGAGAAGCGAAGGCTGCAAAGTGACACTCAGAACCTCACTGCCCAGGTCATTTCTAATAACATAACAGGAATATTCAGCAAAATATGTGTTTGGCAGTGGAAATTGAGAAATGTGAATAATGCGAAACTTCCCCTTACTAAAATAGCCCTCCAGGCCATGCTCGTGATTTGTGCTGTATTTACTCTGTATTTCCATGTCCAGCGGAGAGATATCCGGAAAGAAAGAGATGTGCGTGGGTGCGGCGGCTGTGCATGCAGGAAAGTACGTGTGAATGTAAGCGTTTTGCATGGACATTCTGTAAATGTCGACAAATCATAAAGTCCTCCCGTTGTGTGTATGGATATTGTAGTCTTGTTGTCATGCCAAGCGTCTTACTCCAGTCATAAGCTGGATGTACAGAAGTGATTTTATTTTTCTATAGAGTGGTGGGTATCGATTCTTTAAGATGCAATAGGAGACATTAATCCTGTAATATTTACAGTAGTAAAGAACATTGCTTGAAGACATGTTACATGAATTCTAATTCATTGAATAGTAAAATGTTCATCTATTCATTTAATTTCTCAAAAGGGTGTCATAGGCATGCCCCATAAAAATAAAGGTTTTTGTTTTTTGTAGGTTAGAAGACAAGGATGTTTCCCCGTGAACACACTCCTAATACTGGTTGCTTTACTCGCACAGAAGAATCGACATAACATAACTGATTGAATTTACTTTAAAGCACTTTTCCTCTGTTTGATTTTAAAGCTCTTAATTCAGAAATACATTAATGAAGGAAGTAATGGCTACAGTCAGTTGAAAGGATAATTGGTGACTAACAGTGTAGATGTATTTCAACTGTGTCTGTTTGGCAGTCATGTAGTGGAAGGAAATGTTTTTGGAGAGTTGTATGTTTGCTTCCCTTTGCTACGATTTCCTTATGTTGCTATATTTAAATGTGCAGTTGCTGTCTAATTTCAGTTTGAGAAAAGACTTAAAGACTTAAACAATAGCTTGAATAACTTCGTATTGCACTGTATGCAGAAGCCATTTATCAGGTATTTTAAAGAAGTCTAAAACATCTTTGTAACCTTATAGGTTTGTTATTGTATCACTTGGGAGAAAGGAACTAAATACTGTCTTTTATTTAAATGTAACTTATTGTGGGCAGTATTGGTTTATTTGTATCTATGGGTGTATGTGAAAATGCAATCGTGTGCAAGTTCCTATCCATCCTGTTGTTTCACATGACTGTCATGAATTTGCAAGCTAGGATAAAGTAAAGAGTTTGACCCACTGAGAATTTAACTATTTATATAGCTCTGTATCATAGTGGAGAAATGAAAAGGATGGTAATAAAAGTAAAAGAAATAAAAGTTTTTTTCTGGAGATTGATTAACCTTTTTCCCCAGTGAAGTTAATGAATTTATGAAGTAATTTCAGATTTGCTGTAACAGCACAACAACAATATAAAGCTATAGGTAACATGAAGAACTATTCAAAATTATTAATAAACAAAGTAAGAAAATGACATTCAAAAGCAACAGTACATGCAAATATATCTGTGCCAAGTAGTGTAACTCCTTACTGTGGTATTAATCAGAGAGACAAAGAGTCATTGTAAAGTAGGAATAGCTATCTACATCTATAACATACATATATATATATATATATATATATATATATATAAAAACATAAATAATGTTAAATGTCAGCTTGTTTTGGAGGATAGTTTAGATTGATAGATAGATAGATTGTTTTTGAAGATAGGTTCACATATGTTTCTTAAAACGGTACTCGCATGCCCATATTTACAATGAAAGAGCTGAAATGTTTCTCCTGTGCACAGTGGCCACAAAGATATTCCCTCATAAAGGAATTTCAGTGTGAGACAGAATCCACTGTCCTTATTGTGTGTAAAATTTACAAATATAAAATCAAGGTTAAGATGATGATTTAATAGAGTTAGACAAATTAACTGGGTACATAGAAATACAATCATAAAATAATGCTAAAATAATTCAACTAGTAGAATTTCTATTGATGATATGAGTTTATTCAATGCCAAAACTTCCCCCCACCTCGTTGGAGAAAGATTTAAAATAAGCATTTTTTAGTACTTTCATTATTCTTCCTATATTTATTTCTCAATGGGCGTAGGTACATCATCAACTGAAACTCAGAAATCTGTGTTACTTTCTGGGTGTGTTACTTTCACTTCCCTTAGTTTTTCACGGGTTTCCAGGGTTGAGATATACTTCAAGGTCAAGGAGATGTAGAAGTAGAAATGACGAAAAAACTGAAAAGGATATAATTTTTGTTGTTTCTGAAAAAAGAAAAACCCCATCAGTTCCCGTAAGCTTGCTGAAGATAAAGATAAATGTATGTCATGTTATTTTTGAAAAAGGGGATATGCTCTGTGATGTTTTCATGCTCAGGAAAAACAACAAATTTTCACTTCCCTCCTCATTGGAAATAAAAGACTCTCCCTCAGTCTGTCTTTCGCACAGACAGAGCAACCGAAATGGACACGGTCATTTCCCTCCTTGGTGAGTTTTCTTCAGTTCATCCTCAATATTCCACAAATCTAACACTGTTTAAAATATTGTCTGTCTACTTTCATTTGTCTTATGCACGATTATTTTCCTTTTACAGTTCTTTCAGCACTACCCCAGCTTGTAGTACCTGATGGTATGTACCAATTAGTCTTATAATGAAATTCTAGATATGGAACAACTTCACAAAACGTTTGTGAGTGTGTTGTATACTGTATCAATATGTTGTTTTATATTTCCACTGAACAGGTTACTTCATGTAATTTCAAGTAGTTGAGTTGAACTTTCATAATCAAAACAGTGCAAGTATACAGATGATCAAGATTATTTTGGGATATATACCACCATAGCAAACCTTTATATTTTTGTTGTCATAGCTCCCTCTGTGACCTCATTCAGAGCTGTAACTGAGATGGTGTCAGGGGATTCAAGGATCTTCTCTGGGGAGAGTATCCAGCTGAAATGCAACATTCCTGACACCCACAATTCCTCCTGGGAATACCGGTGGTTCAGGGGATCTGAGCAGCTCTCATATTTTGGAAAGAACCTCATTCTGTGGAAATCCAGAGTTAAAGACAGTGGGAAATATTACTGCCAGGGAGTGAGGGACACAGTGGTGGGAAAAATTCGCACCCTACAAAGTCTGCCTATAGAGATCAACGTTGATGGTAAGAGCTTGTTTATCAGTATCGTGAGAAATCTCCTTGACTCGCATTTCAGAACCCCTTTTTCGTCTTTTTCTTGCTGCCCTGAACTACTTTTACGCATGCTTCCTGAGCATTTTTAGATTTGTGAAGAACTGAATGAATGTTAAAAGAAAAAAGAATGTTTTGGTCTCGTCGAGGTAACCTTCTCTGCAATCTTTGTTTAGGAGGGTGGGCTATCCTAAAAGTCCCCCTTCATCCCGGCCTTGTTGGACACACCTTAAGTGTGACATGTCGCGTCCGAGTTGGAACCCAACTTCATGAGGTGATTCTGTACAAAGATGGCGTTGAAGTTATGAGACAAAATGGCCTCAACCCACATTTCTACCTGACCAGGCTGACCCTCTGGGACCAAGGAATGTATTCTTGTAGAGCCTCCTGGGACACAGACAGACGTACACACTCTGTGATTTCAGCTGCCACACCAGTGCAGGTCTTAGGTGAGTTTATATACTGGGTTGCATACGCTGAGATTGGTTGTGGTTGCAGGTCCCATGTTGCATATAGAATTGATACTACTCTCATACAGTATTTTTCCATTCTATTTGTAGTAACAGCCAGCTAATCGTATCTTAGCATAAGGGTGCTCTGTTCAAAGATAACAAAATCTTCCTACCAGCACCTTTAAGGCTTATTAATTAACACGTTCTATCTTGTTGGGGTTTTTTTATGCACAAAAACTAAAGCTTAAAAACAACAATTTGTGGATGTGGGGTGTTACGTCCTGTACTATTTTAATGCCTGGAGCAGTGATTTGGTTATTTGGTGGAGTCTTCTTGTCAGATATTTCTTGCCCGGACAAGAAATAGTCCCATATACTGTCTAGCCACCTATAAAACCACAAATTGCTATTTTTACACCTATACCTAACGGTAAATATAAGGTTATGGCGAGCAGCCTGGACTGGAAACATGGGGAAAACAGCTATCCGGCTGCAAATTTGCGAATTTCCCCGGCTGTTTTCAAAGTAACAAAATCTCCATACCAATATTTCTCATTACACTTCAGTTTATTGAATTAATTAACAACTAAATATGACTATATAATTTTATAATTTGTGAGCTTCAAAGTTGCTGCTAGGAGGATTTTGTTAACTTTGAGATGTAGTGTTTTCCCCTGTTTCCAGTCTGTATGCTAAGCTAAGCTAACCAGCTGCTGGCTATAGCAACATATTTTGTGTACAGGCGTGAGCATAGTATCGATCTTCTCATTTAACCTCGGCAAGTATAAGTGGGAAACATACAACAGGGAAAAACACGTTCTATAGAAATAACTATTTCCGTGTTTTCTCTCCTGTGGCTCTATCTCAGAGGTTCTGTCACAGCCAATTTTGGAGATTGTTTCAGACAAAAACCTGGTTCCAGTAAATTTGATGAAGCTCATTTGCCACCTCCAATACAACGCCCCTGCTCCTGCCCCTCCATTAAACTACTATTTCTACAAGAATAACAACCGACTAGGAACAGCAACCTCTGAGAACTATGATCTGGTCAAACGGACTCCAGGCCAGTACCGCTGCAGGGCAAAGGTGCCCGAGTTAGACATCTTCAGGTGGAGTGAGCCCACAATCTTTGGACAAGTGACAGGTACTTAGAAGTTAATGTAACCTGTGTGTCCTCGACTACAAGTTTAAACAGTAATCCTCTTCCTGAATTGTCAAAATTGTGAAACAATGCGCAGCAGTTACGAAACATCTGAGGTCAACTTGTCTCTGACCCAATAGGACCACAGGTGATGATGCCTCCAATTCTTCGTTCCAGAGACCAGTTGTCTTTAGCGCCTCCAATCTTACTCCCAGACCTCTCCCAGCGTCTTGCAGCTGAACCAACAGCAGCCCAGCCCTCCCCTCATCAATCCACTGAAACTCCTACTTTTATTGAGCCTACTCAAATGAGCATCCAATCTAATCCAGGTCCTCCGCTGAAGCCTTCACAGTTAGCACCAAGCACTCTGCTATCTACAGTCCAGTCTCTCTACCAAACTGCTATCCCAAACTCTTACAATACATTGGGTGATACGTCTGGAGAATCTGGGGACATGCACGAGGAATCTGGTGACATGGCTAATGACTCTCCAGACACTTTACTATGGTAACAAGTTCATACATTACAGACCATTGCAGAAATTAATAATCCTAAATCAGAGTAATAACATGCAATTGTCACATCTTCAGCAAACTGATATCATATACTTATGCCAGTGCACACTTAATTGTGTAATATTCATGTTACAGATTACCAATCATCAGCTCCATGATCTCATCCGTACTAAAATAACTGGATCAGTAGTGTTAGTGATAATAACTAATGTCATACTGTGTAAAGCAAATAAAGCATTCCATAAATGATATGTACTACTGGATTTTATTTTCAACAAACACAATCTCTTTTTACAACCCTATTGTACAGTGATACTGCTTACATGTTAGTATTGGTATATTAACATGGAGAGTAGATTTACAGTAAGAAAGTTAATACAGTTATAGGTCACAGTGATATTCTCTGTATACTTGACACACACACACACACACACATATATATATATATGTCTCGTTTTTTGCATTTAGATATAGATGGCCGTGGTCATCAGTGATAGTGTAGATGGACAGGAAGCAGAGTTCAGAGTGCAACAAAGACAGCAGCATACAAGAAGAGGAAGACAGGAAGAACATGGTGACGTGGTGAAGGACCTTTTGGATTCAGACAAGTAAAGTGAGGGTGACATTGGGCCATGGAGGGCAAAGCTGCAGGTAGACCATCCATAAATACAAAGTATATTATTCAGCAACACTGTGCAGGGCTTGGAGAGGGCAACGCGTGTCCTCAAAAAAACTGGACAAAATATCTCTGCGTACTTGAATGTGTTACAGGTGCATTGGTGGGAAGCACAATTTGAAGAAAACACCCTACACACTGTCTTACTTACTGCTGGTATTAACAAAGTTGTGGTCTACAAGTATATGGATGTTGTTGTAGTACTCTCTGTATGAGGGCATTGTAAGATTTACAATGAATACTGGCACTTTTAACCTTTTAAAATGTCTGGTCCTTTAATTACTTGGTTATCAATATGCGTGTTTTCTCAAGATGTTTCACCCACAAACTGACCTCATTTTTGTCGGTCAAATAATTTTATCCTGCATCTATGAATGTATAAAGAACTGTTGTGATGCATGTTCATATACCTGATGAAGGTTGTGTAGATCAAAACATTGTAAATAAATATACCAGCAATAAACGAGACAGTGTGTGTGAAGTTGTTGTTTTTTTTCATTTTTATTTAAAACAGGTAAAATAAGAAGATACTAGTAAGGTGATAATACAATAAAGGTGGTCTTGATATGGCCAGTCCATACATTTTCAGTCTAATGTGCAGAACAGCTTTTGAGCAGTTCATCAGTAATGAGTATAGTGTAGCACCACCGGTATTTGGCCTTTTCACAGATATAGTCAAGTTGGTGGAACAGTCCAGTAGAAGAAAATAGTTTCAGTAGAGTGTCAGGCCTTGTCTGAGTAAAGCAGGAATCCAGAGAAGATGCTGTCATCCTCACTGCTGGCATATGCCCCATTCCAGTCTCTGAGTGTCTCCATCCACACCTCATCACCCACCGCCAGCTGCAGCACCACCAGTGTGGATGCCTGGTCGATGTCTTGACCATACAGAGAGTCCCGTGTCCTTACCCGCCGTGACCCATTCACTACCAGTGTGGCTCGCAGGGGCTGATTGCGTACCGTGATGTGGAAGGAGAAGACGTAAACCCCGGCATGGACGCATGTGAAGCTGTTGGAAGTCACATTGTAGTGGTTGTCTTCGTTGTAGAACACTTTGTCGAAGCGTATTGGAAAGCCAGAAGGAGGGAAGGACTTTCTTGGAGAGATACCCACGCTGAAGGCAGAGCGCTTCTGGGGAAACCCTGATCCCTTAGCTCCTTTGAATCCACGAATGCCCCGCTCACCTCTCATCCCAGGGTAACCTCTGTCCCCTTTTGGCCCCATCATCCCTCTCATGCCTTGTGGTCCCTGAGATCCTCTAACCCCTGGTTCTCCTTGTGGTCCAGGAGGTCCTTGATCCCCTCGGACGCCTACAGGACCAGGGGAACCATGCTTGCCGTTCATTCCTGGAATGCCCATCACTCCTGGGATGCCAGGATGCCCAGGATCCCCTCGCTCACCTTTCTGTCCTCTCTCCCCGAACGTGCCACACTCCCCCTTATCCCCCTTATCTCCCTTAGCACCTGACTCAACAGCCACACCCGGAGGTCCAGCTGGCCCCTCCTTTCCCGGTTCTCCTTTCTCACCAGCAGTCCCATTCTGGCCAGGTTCCCCTTTCTCCCCAATACCACCCATGACACCTTGCAACCCTATTTCACCTTTCTCACCTTTTGAGCCAACATCACCTGCAAGGTTGAGAAAACTGTGTCAGAACTATTGACTGCTGTCTGGCAACAATATAAAAGAATTCAACAATAGCCTGAACAAGTTTTTACCTTTATGTCCTGGTTTTCCTGGGATTCCTGGTGACCCGCCTGTTCCACTGCTTCCTCTGTCACCCTTTTCCCCTAAGAAATTGAAATAATAAAGCTGATAGTCCATAAACAAAATCCAACATAAGCAATATGAATATTTAGTTTTTCTCACTAGTGCTACTAGATGACGAGGAAGAATATATTTAACAGGCCAAAGCAGCATGAGCACAGGTCCAGAGGCTCAAAGGGTTGGGGGACAATAACTAGAGGTGTTCAGTACAAGAACAAATAAATATTCATTTCAAAGTGAACTGATAATACTGAATCACAATTGCAACTGACTTAATCATTAGCTTTTAGCAGTGGAGCTCACTGGTGACTGAGAGCGCCATTGTCAGCTCAGCTGTGATTCACAGTATGTTACTTCCTTGTTAAAAGATTATTAAGAGTCCATGAAAACCACAGAAACAATCTGATAAAAGAGTCAAATAATAGGCTGCTTAGCTTTTAACCTTACGTGCAGTGCGTGTATAGGTTAGTTTTGTACTGAACTGAACATAAACAGCTTGTACTAGCAACATACTGAACGTACTACTGAACTGAAGACAGTAAGAATCAGAGCTGAATGTCGGGCCATGTGAATGGTAACACATTGACTTACTGACATACATACTGAAGGTTAATGCGCCCATGTGCTTTATAAGTCTGTGCCCAGGGGCCCATTGTGTCATAAAACGTCCTTGTAATATATGAGATGTCGATGACTGCATTCTGCATTCTAGCAATATGTCATAAATATTTTGTAATAAGCCATTTTAAATGGGTTTTTAACCATATTATACTCACCTTTGTCTCCTCTTAACCCCATAGGACCACTCACTCCCTGTGGTCCAGGTAAACCAGCTGCTCCTGTAAGGCCTCTCTCACCTGGTGGCCCTAGATAAGCAAACGTGCAAAGTTAACAATGTTGAAAGCAAGAATACAAACAAATAAGTTGATTCAATTCAAAAGCATTCTCTTATTGCACTTTATCAGTGAGACTTATACCTGTCAGGCCTCTGTCTCCCTTTGGGCCCCTGGGGCCTCTCTCAGGTGGACAGCACTCACAGAAGTTGAAGTAACACTCGTTGTAATCCAAGGTGTAGTTCTCAGGGCCAACACCAGGGGACTCAGTGCTCTCTGTGTAGTACTGTGGAAAGACGTGATTTGGATAGGTGGTCCTCTCTGTGGTGGGCAGTGGATGGGACTCCACAGGATTTGCACTCGGCACTATCTTGAGAGTCTTGGGCATGTTGGTGGTCACAGGGTTGTGCACAGTGATCTGAGGGACAGGCTTCTTGGTGTACTGGTACTTTGGTTTCGGAGTAGTCTTAGCTTCAGCGCAGGACACCACAGTGAGTGTAACCACAACTACAGCCAGAAGGGTCAACTGACAGGAGATAAACCTCATGGTTGACTGGGATCTGAGAACAGATGAGTTTATACATGACACTTAACTTCTGTTCATCTGCACTAATATCATTTTCCATCTACTTAAGGTTGAAAGGCAAGAGGTTACAACATTAATACAGATCAGCAGTTCACTGCTGCAAATCACTCAGTACTAACAAGTTATGCAGACTTTACTGTTGTCTAATATCATTCTCAATATTGTTTTTACTGTTCTGATTCTTTTTCTCTTTTTCCTTTTGTACATTTCTTACATTGCTAATTTCCGGTTGGAGCTACATTCAGTCATGTGCCATTGTAACTTGTTAAGTCTGCAGTTTGACCATTCAAAGTTGATTTTATGGCTGCGTATCAGTAAATCCAGCTGTTACAATGCATTGAAAACCTGCATCTTCTTGGCTAATGATGGCACTGTCCAGTGCGCTTCTCAACTAAGATATGGCATTCCTTACACATACACTAATAATTTTAATAGGTTGTCCATCATGCTGACATTCAACTTTCTGTACAAAATGTATATCAGCAAAATTGATGAGACTTACCCAGTTATGCATAAGTGGTATGGTCATTTATCCTCTATAGCAGTTGCTTGGACACAGCACAAGGAGCTCCAGGTCTCTCTGATATCTCTGCCAGGCTTGGGCGAAAGAATATCCCCACCAATGGGGGTGTTTGCTGGAAGCACAGGGGGAGGTCTGAAATCCAACTACGACGGGCTATAGCTAAACCAAGGAGAACCACTGTGCTGTGGCCCATTCTCTGTACCCCTGTTGTGTAGAAAGGTGCTTTTGTGACATGGGATACAGCGCCTGCCAGGAGCACTCCCTCGCTGCGAGCTAGGCAAGGAGCAAAGGCCGTGGGGCAATGGGTCACCCGATATGGGAGGCATTCCTCCAACATCCAACCTACTACCCAGGCTCTTACAGTGGGACAAAGCCAAGCAAAGAGGGTTCTGTGACAGAGGCCAGAGCACTACAACAGCCTTTTTTCAATTGTAGGTTTGGAGTAGTATTCTGTAGCTGCAAGCAGGAACGTTTTTACAGATCTTTTATGTGGATAGTGCCACTTGCAATCTTGCAAGTTGATGGTTTGGTTTGAGATTATACCCAGATGGTAATATCTGCAGCAATTCATTTAAAATGACTTACTGTTCGATCTGACAACTGGCACGCAGCATGGGAGCTCAGTATTTACAATCCCAGTAGATTGTAAATACTTGGTAAACATCCAGAAGAAAGCTTTAGCCTAAAGAGCACTGATAATCTCCTCACTCAACAGTTGCTAAACATGAGCTGTTTGTCAAAGGAACCAGCTTATCTCCCTCAAATCAGTGCAGTGCAGTGCACTTTCTGCACATGAGCCCCTGGGACTGCTGGCAGCTGCATTTGCTAACTATGATTCATACTGTGTGGCTGGACAATGATTCATTCTTATGGTGTAACTAGATAGCATTAGGGTTTTTTTGTAGAAAAGTGTTTTTCTGGTAGCTGTCTCGTTGAAACTCTCGACTTGCCCGTGACAATGAATGCTTGAGCAGTGGACATGCCTCAGTTGTCAAAGACCTCAAGTCCTCAGACGGATCTATGACCAGCTATGAGTGAGCAGAAAGAAGGGAAATGAAATTTGGGAAACAGAGATGGGGTGATGATGGGATGGAGGCATGAGGAGAGAGCTACTAAACAGGAGAAGATTGCATTTATTTAAACACTTTTTTATCTTTTAACATTCACACTTTAACTTATCACCTCCACTTACGCTGCTTCCCAGCAGCTCAGGTGAAGTGTCCCTCATTTGCCCCTTCATAAAAGACGAACAGATGGAGTGTAAGATATGCAGCTGAGTCCTGAGAGAGATGGGTTCCTCTGGGGTTCTCCATGCCCAACCTCAACCCCATCGTCTCTCAGTTCCATTCAGACCACACACAACAGCAGCGGTCAGCTTACAGTGCCCAGCTGGTCACAGAGGACCCAGGCACCATTCACCTGTCTGTTAATTTAACACTGGCACCATGCCTTCACCCTCCATCCACACTAACTATAGAGCAAGGGATAAGGAAGGAGTTAACTTACTCAACGGGTGCAGCCGAGCAGAGAGAGGACCAAAGATGACTTGGATGGATGGAAGTGTATTGCCTTACATTAACCCTATTCATGTAAAGGAGATCTTGAAACTGCACTGAATGTGTACAGAGTGAATTAGATAGTGAGACAATAAGATAGAGACTTGTTTAGTAACCAACACAGCACCCAGTCACTCTCTGTATAATTATTCCCCTGCTGTGTTCACCAGTGCTAATAAGGCCATAGGCAGTTTTTTGTTCTTTACTGTGGAACCGTATCAAAGAAAATCTAGATTCTGTAAAATTAGCAGCTAATGACTTGGCAAGAGAGCTGCTGGCAATGAGAACACATCTCATGTGGTCAGACAGAGTACAAAAACACTTTCTGCTGCCACACTTTCTTTGACAAGCCTCCCTGATGTTAGGGATTGGTTTCTTATGACATACATATGACTTATATGATTTTTCTGATTATATCATTTGAGGTTGTTCTTCAATAATGTTTGAGATTTGACTTTTGCATGTCTTGACAAACTGTTCTGTTTGTAATGTATTGTTGATTGAGCTTTTCCTTAGCTTATTTGGACATTTTCTGTTTAAAGGACTTTCTTAATGACAGCTAGATGAAAAGATTTATACCACTCGCATCTGTCTGTTAAATATGAAAACAGGTTAGCTTAGCTTGGCACAAAGACTGTAAACAAGGGCACAGCTAGTCTGGCTTTGTGCAAAGGTAACAAAATCTGCCTTGACAACCACTCGCAGTGACAAGACTTTCTCCCAGCCAAAAAATATTGTGACATATACAGTGCCTTGCGAAAGTATTCGTCCCCCTTGAACTTTTCGACCTTTTGCCACATTACAGGCTTCAGACACAAAGATATAAAACTGTAATTTTTTGTGAAGAACCAACAACAAGTGGGACACAATCATGAAGTGGAATGAAATTTATTGGATATTTCAAACTTTTTTAACAAATAAAAAAATGAAAAATTGGGCATGCAAAATTATTCAGCCCCTTTACTTTCAGTGCAGCAAACTCTCTCCAGACGTTCAGTGAGGATCTCTGAATGATCCAATGTTGACCTAAATGACTAATGATGATAAATAGAATCCACCTGTGTGAAATCAAGTCTCCGTATAAATGCACCTGCTCTGTGATAGTCTCAGAGGTCCGTTTAAAGCGCAGAGAGCATCATGAAGAACAAGGAACACACCAGGCAGGTCCGAGATACTGTTGTGGTGAAGTTTAAAGCCGGATTTGGATACAAAAAGATTTCCCAAGCTTTAAACATCCCAAGGAGCACTGTGCAAGCTTCATAATATTGAAATGGAAGGAGTATCAGACCACTGCAAATCCACGAAGACCCGGCCGTCCCTCTGAACTTTCAGCTCATACAAGGAGAAGACTGATCAGAGATGCAGCCAAGAGGCCCATGATCACTTTTGATAAACTGCAGAGATCTACAGCTGAGGTGGGAGACTCTGTCCATAGGACAACAATCAGTCGTATACTGCACAAATATGGCCTTTATGGAAGAGTGGCAAGAAGAAAGCCATTTCTTAAAGATATCCATAAAAAGTCTCGTTTAAAGTTTGCCACAAGCCACCTGGGAGACACACCAAACATGTGGAAGAAGGTGCTCTGGTCAGATGAAACCAAAATCGAACTTTTTGGCAACAATGCAAAACGTTATGTTTGGCGTAAAGGCAACACAGCTCATCACCCTGAACACACCATCCCCACTGTCAAACATGGTGGTGGCAGCATCATGGTTTGGGCCTGCTTTTCTTCAGCAGGGACAGGGAAGATGGTTAAAATTGATGGGAAGATGGATGGAGCCAAATACAGGACCATTCTGGAAGAAAACCTGATGGAGTCTGCAAAAGACCTGAGACTGGGACGGAGATTTGTCTTCCAACAAGACAATGATCCAAAACATAAAGCAAAATCTACACTGGAATGGTTCACAAATAAACATATCCAGGTGTTAGAATGGCCAAGTCAAAGTCCAGACCTGAATCCAATCGAGAATCTGTGGAAAGAACTGAAAACTGCTGTTCACAAACGCTCTCCATCCAACCTCACTGAACTCGAGCTGTTTTGCAAGGAGGAAAGGGCAAAAATTTCAGTCTCTCGATGTGCAAAACTGATAGAGACGTACCCCAAGCGACTTACAGCTATAATCGCAGCAAAAGGTGGCACTACAAAGTATTAACTTAAGGGGGCTGAATAATGTTGCACGCCCAATTTTTCAGTTTTTTATTTGTTAAAAAAGTTTGAAATATCCGATAAATTTCGTTCCACTTCATGATTGTGTCCCACTTGTTGTTGGTTCTTCACAAAAAATTACAGTTTCATATCTTTATGTTTGAAGCCTGCAATGTGGCAAAAGGTCAAAGTTCAAGGGGGCCGAATACTTTCGCAAGGCACTGTAATTATAAAACCACAAACTTTTTTCAGTGAATTAAACAAAGAAAATAATGTGTTAATTAGTGAACTTTTAGAGGTGCTGATGGGCAGATTTGCATAAGCCAGGCAAGTTGTTTCCCTGTCTCCAGTCTTTGTGCTATGTTAACCGGCTGCTTGCTGTAGCCTTATATTAAATGAACAGATCTCTTTAAATACAATGCAAAGGAATAAGTCACTGCAAGCAGAGAGCACTGTGTGGCTTATTTCTTTTAGTCAGTAAACATAACTGTTCAATTTGATGGTTGGACAGAAGAAAGTCATTGCAGAGTTTCAGGATGCAAGTATCTGTGGAAATTTAGAAAACAAGTAGGGTCCTGTCCATTATTGGAAGAACAAATAGAAACGCAAATTATTATCAGTAAAGCAGAGGTTAAATGTTTAATCTGGGAAAAGAAAAGTGGCACTGCAGCACTGTGCTGTTAACATAATGTTGAAGATGGTATAGGGAACACCAGACAGGTTTGTATGAGGGCTGTCAGGGTGGGAGTTGTATGGGTATGGGACACAGAGCAAGATGATGAAGAATAATCTGAGGGAATTAGGGGTGCAGGAAATCACATTAAAAGGATTGCTGAGTATGGGTGAGAAAGCACAGGTCAGGGTACTGTTAGCTAAGGGTCACAGGAGATTTTATAGGGTATGATGGATAAACAGGAATAGGTTCCTAGAGTGGCTGACATGGATAGGGATTTTATAATAGACTAAGGTGTAAAG